GGTTGGTTCTTGCCCGCCAACGACTCCGAGAGGACGATTTGACAGTCTTGGTACGAGACTAGGTTCTTGCCGCCCACCATCTGCCATCCCAAATGCCCAAGATCAGGACAACGAGAACGAAGGCTCCGCCGGAGGGATATGAGGACATAGAAGAGGTATGTGTCTTGTTCAAGTTCGGTTCTTTCGTGTCTTGTCTTAACCACAGAATTTACCAGATTTTAGAAGACTATGCGAAGAAGATGCGAGACGCAGAGAACGAGTCCCACGAGGGAAAACGCAAGGCCGAGTCATTATGGCCCATCATGCGCATCTCCCATGCTCGCTCACGGTACATCTATGAGCTGTACTACAAGCGCGAGGCCATCTCACGAGAGCTGTACGACTGGCTGCTGAAGCAAGGCTATGCTGACGTTAAGTGGGTCTTTCTCTTCGGACGCGCGCATCGCGAGTCATTTATAGCGAGGTTTACTTACATACAACCGAATCTCTTGACAGCCTCATCGCGAAATGGAAAAAGACGGGATATGAGAAACTGTGCTGTCTTCGGTGCATACAGACGAAAGTGAGTTCTGGTTCGTTTCGGTTTAATTTCGGTTTGCTAATGAGAGGATCGACTAGGACATGAATTACCAAGGTTCGACGTGCATATGTAGGGTGCCGAAGGCTCAAGTCAGGTCGGGCACTGTCGTTGAATGCGTGCACTGTGGTGTGTTCCTTCTCCTGTCTGGTTCTCCTGCTTCTTTTCTTACCTATATTCTTCTAGGTTGCCGCGGGTGCAGCTCCGACTCGTGAATTATTCAACAGGTTTCCCGCACATGCTTTGTGGTCTTCGAATGGCTCGGCTTTAGCTTATTCTCCTATCGTTCTGCAGTGAACGTTCATTAGATTCGGGGTCCGTGCTTTCTCCATGCAGACATGCAACATATCCGTGTTCCGTTGTGCCACTTGCAACACTGTTGGCAGCGGCGGATAAAGCCACCACTGTACTTGTACTCGTTCATGTAGTATATTGCACACCATCATGAAATTTAGATGCGCCGGCATCCTTCTCTGGGTATGGCAAACGAGCTTCTCGGGTTTGATCCATCATCACGATTCTCGGCGGTTGTTGGTTACTACGCTCTTACTTCTTTCCATCATGCTCTGGAGCCGCCGCACAGCGCAATCTACGAATTCCGAGAGACGAGAGGGCAGCGGGAAATGAATTGTTGCTCGATCAGATCAAGTGGGGGCAACAGTTGATGGGTCAAAACTTGGCGACCCTATTTTTGCTGTGACCTCTGCCGGACATATATAAGAAAGGCACGTAGAATGAAACAAATCGACCCCCGTCCCTTTCGCTTTCACCACCATGGGCGAATTCAGCGACCAAGTTCTGTCGCTCTTTGCGCGAGCTGCGTCTGAGCAGGTATGTCTTTCGTATGTCTTCCGTCCAGAAAACTGAGTCGTCTTTGTTCAAGGGAGGTGTGATTTCAGGAGACAACCCGACCCACTACAACAGGGACAATCCGATTCGCCTATGGATCATCCAAGTCTGTGCGTATCGTCCTCTGGCGTGCATATACTTACGTCTTTCTAACCGTCACTATGTCGCAGTCATCATCATCACCTTCACCCAGATTTTGTCGCTGGGTCTCTCCCGTATGCGCCAGCCACGAGTGATAGCAGAGGTCATTGGTGGTGTCCTTCTAGGCCCAACCGTCATGGGTCGTATCCCGCACTTCAGGGAGACCATCTTCCCGACAGACAGCATCCCCATCCTCACGATCACCAGTAACATCGGCCTCGTCCTCTTTCTCTTCCTCGTTGGCCTCGAAATCGATACCCGCCTGCTGAAGCGGAACATACTTGCCTCGGCAGGCGTTTCCATAGCAGGTCTCCTTTTCCCCCTGGGTCTCGGTGCAGCACTAGGTGTCGCGGTTTATAGGGAGTTCATCGACGACACCGTCAACTTCGGCCACTTCCTCCTCTTTGTCGCCGTTGCCGTCGGTATCACCGCCTTCCCCGTCCTCTGCCGGATCTTGACCGAGCTCAAGCTGCTCGACACTGAAGTCGGCCTCGTCGTGCTCTCAGCCGGTATCGGGAATGATGTTATTGGATGGGTTTTGTTGGCCCTGACCGTTGCCCTCGTCAATGCCTCGTCTGGGCTCACGGCGCTGTGGGTCCTCTTGGCGAGCGCCGGATACACGATCGTGCTCCTCTACCCTGGGCGCTGGGGCTACCGCTGGTTGGCCAGGCGCACGGGCAGTTTGGAGCAGGGCTTCCCTACGCCATTCTTGATGACGGTCACCATCCTCGTCGTATTGGCCTCGGCCTTCTTCACTGACATTATTGGAGTTCATGCCATTTTTGGTGAGTTACGTTCATGTTCTATGGTTTCTATTCTGACCTGTCATCTTTCAACAGGCGGATTTTTGGCTGGATTGATCATCCCCCATGATAACGGCTTCGCTATCTCAGTGGTCGAAAAATTGGAAGATCTCATCAACATCCTGTTCTTGCCAATCGTGAGTTGCCTGCTGTTATGACCCCCGAAAACACACCTGATCTTTTTTTGTCAGTACTTCACGCTCTCCGGACTTAGAACCAACTTGGGTTTACTCAACACGGGTACTGACTGGGGTTACATTGTCCTTATCTGTACTGTTGCCTTTTCCTCGAAATTCCTTGCTTGTGGAGCAGCAGCATTCTTCGGTGGTTTCAACTGGAGAGAGTCTGGTGCCATCGGATCTCTCATGTCCTGCAAGGGGTAAGTCTCTCTTCTCCTTTATGACTGCGACGAACTAATTCCTTTCGCCAGACTTGTCGAACTCATCGTGCTTAACATCGGCCTTCAAGCCAGGATCCTCAATGAGCGCACATTCTCGATGTTCGTTGTCCACGCTCTCGTCCTTACGTTCATAACGACCCCTCTCGTCATTGCGTTCTATCCTCCCAAGTACCGTATCCATCACAGAGATGAAAAACCTGCTGGAGACGAAGCCGCTTTGCCCACAAGGGCACCCTCGAACGACGAGCACAAGACCAGGTTCTCGCTTGTCTTGGACAAGATTGAAGCTCTTCCGGCTGCTATGACCCTGTCGCAGCTCTTGCACTATCCCTCAGCTGTCCTCCCTTCTTCGCACGCTTCGCAGCTGTCTACCATCAACGAAAAGGCATTGGAAGCTGGCTTGGATGATGTGAAGGACCATGGAGAGGCGCCGCCACGATCTGCCATTACGATTGAAGCTCTTCGTCTCATGGAGCTCACTGCCCGGACATCAGCCGTCCTCAGGTCCCAAGAAGCCGACTCGCTCATTTACAATGACCCTGTCGTCTCGGTGTACAAGACCTTCGGCCAACTTAACCACTTCAATGTATCCGCGAAGCTCTCCGTCGTCAACTACGAGGAGTTCCCCGAGGCTGTCGCCAAGCATGTTTCGGACACCGGATCTGAGATGGTCATCATCCCTTGGCCACGGGGCATTACTTCCGTGCTCGAGGAGGAGGCAGAGGGGCAGCACGTCGGCACGCGCAACCCCTTCGACGGCATCTTCCATAAGACGACGACGGAGGACCAGACGAGCTCCGTCGTGTACTCGGAGTTCATCCGCAACGTCTTTTCGCAGTCGCCCTCCGACATTGCACTCTTTGTCGATCGTGGGCTGACGACTGCACCGACGGGCAACACGAAGCAGCACTTCTTCCTGCCGTTCTTCGGAGGCCCGGATGATCGTTTGGCGCTGACGTTCTTGGTGCAGCTGTGCGAGAACTATGCTGTGAGCGCGACTGTTGTCAGGATGGCGACGATGGATAGTGACGATGTCGCGAGGACGACCGACGATGCCAAGTTATCTGGTGCCCTTTCGCCCACGTTCCATAATGTGCGTCTTCCTTTCTTTTTCGTTGAAACCTCCGCACCCGTTTGCTGATTGAAAATTGATAATCTCTATGATGTGTAGACCGTCGCTGCTGCTGACACCGTCTATGGCCAACACACTACGCAAACCCGCCTCGAATCCGACACGGCTGACAACCTTGTCTGGGGCAAGTACACCACCCCAAGCACCGTGCACCCCTCCAACGTCGCCTCTGCCCTTACCCGCATCTCATTCATCAACGAGTCCGCCACCAAGCCCCTGCACCGTGTCGCCGAGCTCGCGAAGCAAGAAGCCGCCATCAGCATTGCGCGTTCGGGCAAGACGCTCATCGTCCTCGCTGGCAGGTCGCGTCGTTTGGCCGTCGAGAACCTCCGCGGCGAGCTCAGGTCACTCATCTCAGAGACCGGGTCGTCCATCAGCTCCTCGGTGCCGAAGACGCTTGGTGACGTTGGTGCAGGTCTCGTCGCGGCTGGCGTCAACGCGAGCTTGCTCGTCCTCCAGGCTGCTCCTTCTGCTTCGTCGTAGTCGCATTCCGTTCGTCCAGTTGGCCCTTTTTGGTACTATTTATGGCTTATATGAGATGATCTTCTGTACGATACCGCTTCACGCCCCCTATTTCGTTTGATGCTAGCATACCTAGATGACCATGACCTCATCGAGTACTCACGATATTTTTTTTGCTAACCCCTATCACGATACAATAAAGGGTCTCCACACATCCTTTCATCTATCCTTTGAACTGGCGAGTGCAACTGAACAAAAGACGTCGGAGCACAATTTACGAGCAGCGCCGCCATGGTTAAGACGAAGGAGCCAAGTAGAAAATACATGGAGTATACGCAGTACATGAGGATCCAGAATGACAAAAGAAAGAGAAGAATGAGATTATCAACAAAATTGCACCGTAGCATCATGCCTCCCAACATCATATCAGGACAGAGGCCAAAGTTCAAACCCGAATGGGTCCTCTGCAAACGAAAATCCCTCTAGGTGCGCTGATGAGTCGAGTGGTTCGTCCTGACCCTCCGCTAGGTAATTCAATTCCGGAAAATCCACAACTCCGACTGTGCTCCCCGCTTCAACTGCATCTGTACTCGTCGTGGTCGGAGGATCCGATAGCGAGGCAAAGACCGTATCCAAAATGCAACTGACCTCGTGCTCGACGCCTGTGCAGTTGCACTCCGGGTATGGCTTCGAGGAGGGCGTCTCCTTTGCACACTGTTCGTCGGCTTTGAAGACAGGCTGGCATTCCGTAGACTCCTCAGCGTCGTCGGGCAAGTCGCCGTCGAGAAATTCGACACCGTCCACTTCTGCAAGAATCTCCACAGCCTTGCGCTTTCCAAGTGCCTTCTCCGATGGACGATAGGGTTCAGTGGGAGGTGGGCTGTCAGTCCTGTTGCGGCTTCTCTTAACAACCACCCCAGGAACAAGGCGCTGGGTCTCCTCCGCAACCTCTCTAACGACTGGAGAGCTGCGAATCTTGTCAGTCCGTGTTCTGATATTTTGCAAGGACGCCTTCTTCTTGGCCTTCTTCTGAGCTTTCTTCTTGGCCTCCTTTTGAGCCTCCTTCTGCGCCTCCTTCTGAGCCTTCGCCCGGCATTTTTCCGCTTCAGTAGCTGGCGTGGAGATATCGAAGTTGGTTGCGCCACCAACGTTCACGCGGAACTCGACAAACGAAGAGGATTGGGGTGCGGGAACGTCAGGAGGGCATGCCTTCCTGTTCCGGGAAACTGGTGTGGGATTCACCAGGCCTACGCTGGGTATCGTTTTTCGGAGCGGAAGAGCGTTCTCTGTCGGCGGACAAGTATCCGTCATTAGACGGCGACCAACGGCTCGAGCTGCCTGGGCAAGCCGTTCTGCAGACGCAATGCGCGCCCGGGCATCCTCGTAAGCAGATATCCGTTGTTGCAAGTTTGTCACCACTTCTGGCACGGGCCAAGGGGGATACGGCACAACGGTGGAGACACCATGATCCACCTGTAGTTGTTGCTGGTGCTGGTGTTGGTGTTGGTGATACTGGTGGTGTTGGTGATACTGGTGGTGTTGGTGATACTGGTGGCGTTGGTGTTGAGGAAAGAGCGGTATAAAATACTCCGACCCAGCGACAGGAAGAGGACCGTGGCAGAACTAGATGAAAATGCTCGTAACATGAAGCACGAAAGGAGAACGAGGACTTACCGCTGATGCAGGCCGTTGTGGATTTTGGGACAGATCCTCCAATGCGGATCGTTGTCGGCAAAGTTGGCGAGGCGGTTGGTCTTCCTCATTCTGAACAATTGTAAGATGCAGGCGAGGAAGAAGAAAACTAAGCACGTACCATGGATTCATCTGCCCTCCTCTTCCTACTCCCGCTTTCGATTGGATCCATGCTGGCCACAGCTTGTTGTGGCGGCATTTGCATTTGCGAGGCCATGGGGGCAACTCGTCCTGGAAGGGGGCTAGGCCACACTCCATACGGGTACTCTTGCACACCAGGTGCATCGATGAGGTTGAATTGGTCGTTGAAGTTATTGTTTTGCATAGTGATAGAGACTTGTTGTGTCGGTTGATGTAGTTTGAGGAAGGAAGGCCTATGCCACCGTTCGCAAATAAATACTGTCGCGTCGCGCGTTGCGTCTCGAAAAAACGTGATCACAAATTTCAGTCATGTTTAGTTGCTGATTCTGGAAGGCTGCGATTCAAGCTTTTGATTATTAGGTGCGTCCACATTGTTTTCGATAACCACACAATTGTAACGGTCTTCCTGACAGAGTCTATGGGCGATAAGAATTGGCTCGGGTAAATAAGAACAGAAAGGAAACATACCTTGACAAGTCGTCGATTATATAGGGCGATATCCTACTCTCTAAGTCGGCTCAGGTTGATTTTCTAAGCTCAGAGAGGCCAGAAAACATTGGAGACGGTGTCTGGAGATGGCCTATAGTTTTCACGCAACCGCGAAAGAAAAGCTGGCTGGTTGGAAGAGCTCCTTCGTCGATCGGCAACGGGTTCTGCGTTCAGGATCTGCTACTGCGACCACCACGGAAGGTTAGCGATGGAGGCAATGCATTTTTCATGACTTACACACGTAGACTTTAGCGTAAATCCCTGCTCTAATCCCCTGTTAAATACTGAGCAGTCGTCTTCTGCAGGACTTATTTCGCTGGATTCGTGCGAGATGCCGGTGTTCTATGCACATCCCTTACGCTAATTAAGCCAATCCACCCGTTCAATTTTACTAGACATTACTCTGGAGGTTTGACTTTCCAGAAGTCATTTCGTGCAACCTGGAAAATCATGAAGCCTGCGGCTTTCGTGTATATCGACGATATACAATCCCTTCTCGCCGAGGATGCGTCTTAAGTTGCACGCAGCTAAAATATAATGTAGATGGTGAGCTTGAAAGATGCCCGAAAATAGCGCTCACAGACTCTTCGCCTTTTCTCGGAGAATATCTCCTGCTGACACTTTAGTGGACCAAGGCCGGAACACACCAGCACCAGTCGATCGTCTTCGACTTTTACTTCGCGACATTAGGAATACCCGGCTAAAAATTTTGGGGTATCTTGGAGAAATCTTGAGTTGTCGACGACATTGGGACTGGCGGTAGCACAGTTGGGAACTAGAAGGTGATTAAGGAGAGCCGTGTATCGGCCATGAACGTGGGCATGGTGGAAGTCTATGTATCCAACATGGACGAAGAAAGAGATCTGGAGAGCATCTCTGCCTCATAAAATGGGGCGTTCTAGCTCATTCAAATGAACATGTCAGGTCCGGTGGTGCTGTGACGAAGATGTTATTTACATCCAAATGCAATCTGCAATGTAAAGGCATACCTGGCCCAAAATCGACATATTCAGCTGGAACACGGCGAGCAATAGTACAATCCTTTCTTGCTACGAGAGGCTAAGATGATCTATTGCGATGTCGTTGAGGAGCAATCGGATGTCATCGGACGCTAGGAGGCGTCGGGACCGAAATATTGCCTTTTTCGGAAGTTGCTACCATCATTCCTTCAACGTGGATTCGGCGTTAGCAGTTTTACCACATTCCTGTTTGACTTTTCGTCTTTGACACCTATAGCTCAAAACATCAGTCCCAAGAGGCTAGAAATTTGACGGTATTGTAGGTGGGCTGGGACAAAGTCGGGTCCAAGGTGTGTTGCCTATGCCCGGCGTCACCATTTTTTTCTGACGAGCCTCTTGCTTCATTCTTCCAAAGTAGATGCAATTCGAACTAGGTCGACTTGTTGTCCTTGATTCTCTGTGAATATAGTCGAGCTTCCTCCACCGTAACAATCTCCCGGGAAAATCGCAAATACATTTGTTAACTGCCAACACGATCTCTAGGAACATGTATGAAACTGGTGCTGTCCGAGGGCATCCGAGTCGTATCGTTTCCGTTGAAGGACCCGACTGCTTCTTTCTGGCCGTACCGTAACCCAGCGTCAGATTCGTCTCCTGGGTTTATTATCAAGAGGATCTTGGATTTAAATTGTCGCCTCATTGCTTATTGTTCCGGGGCAGTATTGAGTATAGCCAGGACGACCTATCACCTTCATCGTACACTAAGACAGTCAGGCGGACGGTTCGAGGTCAGATCTATATCTCCCCCTTTTTCCCTCTCGTCTTTTATTCTAGCTGCTCGTGCCAATAATAATGCCTCTCAACAGTTCATCAATCCCTACAGATCTTTCACCTCGGACTCTGCCAAGTAAAGAAGAAAACAACGCGACCGGACTCATTGTCTTCCCTATTTCCCCCAGTTCGGCCAGCTATCTCAGAAAAACGTCGAATGCCCAGTCATACCACTACCAGTCGGTCGAGCCATCAACCCTTTTCATTTCCCAACCAGCCTTCCTTCGCTGACTCTCGCTTTCCTCGCTGATACCTCCGGATAATCCGTGTAGACGTCATGTATCAACGTTGTGTAAGCCCGAAGGAATCCATTCCATTGCACTGGTTGCTGACGTGATGCTGAATCTTGGCTTGAAACCTCAAGCTGCTGGCCTAGGTTCTGCTCTATGGTGCCCCCCTCCCGCTCATCGCGCTTTGCATTGTGAAAGCTCGGCCAGTAATTGTCCTCTCAGCTTTGACAGCAGCTATGTCTCGTAAAGACGCTTGTTTGCACCATGCAAATGGCCGGATGGACTGAGTGTTCCATTGCGCAAAGCATCGCAAAACCTTTCAAAGCGGGGTCACGTTATTGGACGCGACTGTCGCTACTTAAATTGCTGCCACCCTTTTCCTAATTCCCTTAAATCGCCTTTCCTCCTCCGTCATTTTCAGCCCTTCGCCGCCTACCACCTTTGCAACCACCCAATCCTTTCCTTTCCGACATGTCGTACCGCCAGGGCGCCAACTACAATAACCTCACACACACGTCGACGAGTTCTAACACGTTCGACGAGCTCAAGGAGTACCCGTGCACTTTCCCATACCTTCTCAGCAGTCAAGCTCTTCAAATGCCACACACTCTTTTATCATTTTCCGGGCACCATACATCATACGAAGATTTTCAGCCGGCAGGATCTGGCAGCTCTTTCCAACCTTTTTATCAGGCGACACATCAGTATGAAGTCGCACATAGCGGCATCAGGGATTTGCCACCTCGAAAAGCAGCTACAGACGTCCCCGAACGCGGGGTAAAAAGGAGTGCAAGTTTTGCGAACGTGCGTGTTCTCCCGCGGTTCCCAGACACCGACATGCCGATCGACCGTACTACTCTATAGCTCGATTGCGGTGCTACGACCAGCCGTCGGCGCCAAGAACCCCTCCTTCAGCTTCCCAATAACCCGCAGCCCAGCTACGAACTGGTACGTGGCTTGTGTTCGTCCCGGCAACGGTCTATTCATTCGACACAGACTCTGCCTATCCCTTATCTAGCCGACATCAACGTTGGTTTCAGCGCTGAAGCTAATGGCAGCCTTAGGGTGCCTATGAGTGACACTATCAACGACATTGGCGTCGGATTTGACCTTGTGGACGACCAGTATGACTGGACATCCATGCTCGCGCAACCTCGTATCAGGTCTGAATCAGCCGAGTCCATTCAAGTCGAGGCAAACCCTTCCGCCCCTGACATTGACCTTCGGTCAACGGCGCCCCCCCCAGCTCTCAAGCCACCACGACATTAAGGCGTCCTCTTCTGTTCCCTCGTCGGGGGTCGTTTCATCGCCAGTCGCAAATTCCAGAGTGGTCGCTACTCCTGCTGACAACCCGCATCATACCGTCGCAGGATCAACCCCACCTCTCCCGGCCCCCAGTGGCCGTAAGGCTCGTGCTCCAAGGAAGCGCAAGGAATCGAATCCCTCACCTCCTCAACCATGGAGCAAGCTCGACTGGACCGGTGTCCACCAGACGAACAACACCTGGGACCCGACCCTCCCGAACCCCGCGGCCAACGCCTCGATTCGACGTCTTCGAGCTGCGGCAGCAGCTGACGCTGAAAAATCCAGGCTATCACCAGGTCCTTCATCTACAACAAGTCGAGAATATCCAGGAGGAGGAGAGACGAAGGAGGTCAATACAGACAGGGACACTGAAGTCAATATTGATGAAGTTGTTGGCGTCCTAGACAACATGGTAAGGGTCCAAGCACGCCAGCTTTTGGGTGGTACAGGCACGGAGGATCAGTTGCAACGAGTTTGTTCAATGGTAGCTCAACGCCTGCTGAATTGGCGCTGATACACCTCTTTGCGCGTCAAGGTGGTATATGGGGTAGCTTTCTTGTGCCACTGATTTTAGTTTTCTTCCTTGTTTCACCATGCTCTTATCCCCCTCTCAGGATCTCTTCTTTGAACGATAATTAATGCTAATAGCGATGATTTACTCTGAATACCCTTATGTTTGTAGCCCTAGCCATCTCTGCCGTATCTTCCCTTCATTTTTCCTTGTATCCCTATCAAACCACTCTCGTCCTAGGACTACTTCACTTAGGCATCACCAGTACTTATCATACTCACGTCTGTGAATAAAACCTTTGAAAATGAATTGCTTCGCTCAGTTATAAAGCCAGGCAAAGCCCTTTTGCTTCGACTGGGACACCCACATGGCCCCACAGCCTTTGTTGAGCGCAGAGGTTTTCGCCAATTGAGGCCAAAGAAAAGCACAACAACCGCTTGCGAACCTGCTAAATTTGGCTTCAAATTTTTGAAGGCTTTCGCAAGATATGCAATGGCATTCTGCAGCATAAATGAACCTTTCATCCTTGCAAGTTACTCTTCCTCTTCTAGGTCCAATCTACCTTCAAAGGTCGCTGGCGTGTACGCGTCCTCACACCAGAAATCAAATGGCTCGGATGGATATGTTACCGTCGCTGCTCAGGCAGACGGTGTGCACGTTCTAGACGTGAATATTTCCACCCTTTCATATTTCAATACGCCTCAAACACTTCCAAAGGTATCTGATCTTCATCCAGTGATTTCGCATACTCTTGGGCCATCTGCCTCTTTCCAATGCCCGCCCTTGTCTGTGGCCTCCTCGTCAACCCGTACGACCACGTACGCAATCATATCTAGTTCGGCGGAGCTATCGTCCTCTGAAGAATCGGGTCGAACACTTTGGGCTTGGGAGGATGATTCATCAGTGCAAGAGAAGCAAAAGGCGAAGCGGGCTAAAACGATAGTGCGTCAATTTTGCTCACATCGAGACATCGTTAGATCAACTGAGTTCAGCGAAGCTGCCAGCAGGACAGGTTACTCATGATATATGCTCTTGCAATGATAAAATTCTCGTCATATCGGCCACAGGACATATGGTCCTGATTGACCCAGAGTCACTGGAAACGAAGTCCACACATTCACCCACTCCTCCATCATCGTTCAAAGTCAGCCATTCTTGGCTGCTATCACGTCCTCAGGCCTCTTCGATGCTCGTTATGTTGGGTTCCAAAACCTCGAAAAATGCTCATCTTCGAATTCTGGCTATCGACGAAGCAGATTCCATATCCGAGAAAAGCGAACACGAACTTTCCATCGACCATGAAGTAAGAGTTTTTTTTCCTATTCCCCCTTCATTTCTTCGCATAAGCCTATGTGTGCATATGTGACTTCATGACGAGTAACGTCTACATGAGTTTTCGCTAGAATTTCCTCGAGGAGAATTTTCATTCATTATCTCTTATTTCCGATGCATTCGATTGTCGAACTAACCTCTCGTTTTCATAGGACATTACTGGCGTGTCATGCAGTTCCGAAGGAGTTCTGAGTATTTTGGGTGCGTCCATAAGGTTCAGCCTCGGCTGGTGTTTCCCGACCTCATGAGTCTTGACGAACAGTTAAGGACGGCGCATGGCGGTCCTATCGAATACAAGGCGATTCATTAGCGGACCTTGCTCCTCCTATAACCCTCTCTGTCCCGTCCATGCCTCTGTCGAACGCCCTCCTCGCCTTGACTACTTCCCACGTCTTACTCGCTACCGTTTCCTCCCAAGAAATCAACATCCTGCTTTGGGATGTACAATTCGCGGTCCTCTTAGCTTCTCACAGCGTCCCTGTGCCATCGAGCCTGTCCTCATCCTCTCTGCAAATACGACTCGTCGCAGGCTCTCACTCGCAGCAGAGCCAGAAAACGAAGACTCAAGTGGTCAATGGTCAAGCCATCCTTATCATATCTTCCGTGCCTACCAAAAAGCGTCAAGACGAGCCTTTTGATGCCTCTCAGCAGAAAAGCACCTCAGTTCTCCTCGTCGTGCCCTTTACTGTTCCATCACAGTCCACAATCGCTGCTGCCATGGGCCGCGGAGCTGCTGGCAAAAAGTGGCTGAAGATAAGCAGTACATTAAACGATGCAAGCGCCAGCCAAAAGGGCGCTGAGGAGACCGCCAAGGAGAAAGTGTTGGGCACAATGAGAGCGGCGATTTCTAGTGGAAGACCACAGGCTGCTGTGGCGGCATTTATGAAGTGGGCACCAAAGGAAGGCCAGGTGAGAGTCGTTATTTTTTGCCCGTGTTCTTGTTCTCACTGAAAATCTTCCTAATGCCAGGAAACGACATCGGCTCTGCAGCATAATTTTGTCAAAGAAGTTTTGGAATTGGTCCTCCTTCCAGCCCCAGACTCGAAGGCACTTTCAGCGTATGCATCCGAGATTGTGCGATACCTCCTTGAACGACAACTTGCGTGCAGTTCCATGATTTCGATGCCAGGAGGACTGTTAGGCGCATTAAGATTACGAGCAGACTGGGTACGTCTTCTGGTGTGAATGAAACAGCCTCTTGTTGCTCACATAATGTAGAAATCCATCCAGCTGGCTTTCTCAAAAGTCCCCGACCTAACAGAAGTAGAGCTTGTTGAGACGTTGCGGTTTATCATAGCACACGAACGTCTCTCCTCCGCGCCAGATGCAATGCAAGTCGACCAAACGACTTCAGCAGACAACCCATTGCCTCTTGCTGCTTACCTTGGTCTCTTAGCCAACTATTCTACCTCTCGCGGCCCGCTTCTTCTGGCCTTCCGGCGGCATCTTCAAGATCCTGAAGACGTAACCAGAGTGCTTAGAGTTCTTGAGATTTGGGTGGAGAGGAGAGGAAACATGGGCGAAAACCTCTTCCCTTCTAATAAAGAGTTGACAAAGACGAACCAGGGCATGTGGATCGTCTCAGGTAAGAAGGGTGGCAATCAGGATGTCCCTTCGCTGGAACAGGTAAGCTCTATTACTAGATCCAGATGGACCAAGGGTTCAACTCTTCTTTTCCTTCCAGATCGTAAGCCTCTTGCAAACCCTCCTTGACGCGAGCTTCCTGGTCCTCCTCCCATACAAGCCAGCCCACAGGAGCCTGCGCACACTGCGGGCCCTCCTGAACCCAGAGGTAGCCTTCGCACGTGAGGTGGAGCACTTACGTGGGCCTCTCGAGCCATTCGCCGTTGCTCAGGAGAAGGCCGTGAAAGAGAGCCTCATTTCTCCGCAGGAGAGGGAGAGGGAAAGAGAGAAGGGTGATTGGAGGCAGAGGCGGAAAGCGGGTGCTGCAGGGACAGACATTGGGGTTTATCAGTTAGAAGAACTTGTCATTTAAGTTGCAGACCACCCTTTGGGCGAGGATGAGAGAAGTCGATGCTGTTTGCATGGCCATTCGAATAACAAGAGAGGCACGGTTTCGGAGGTGAGCAATAAAAGGGGAGTAAATAAGATTCATGCAACTGTTGAGTACGAGGACAGATGTAGTTGATAAGGATATATAATGTAAATGATCAATAAAATATTAGGTATCAGAGTGTCAAGCTTCAAGCTTCAAGGGTGAAGCGATCGTATTCTAGAAAGAGGCCTTATCTTCCTTCCTCTCAGCTCGTCGACGCGGGTCAGCGAGGCAACTTCAATCGGCTGCGAGACTGTCTCCTCGGAACTGGCCTCAGAATCGAGCTTCACTTTCTTGAACGAACCCTCCTCGACTGGAGTACCGCCATTGTCGAGTTTTCGTTTCAGCCCGAGATAATCAAAAGCTGCATCGCCTTTTGGCCAATCGTCCTTCGCCAGTTGAGCCGCAATCTCGCTCATCATCTCGTCGTGACTGCTAAAGGTTGGCGTGAATTTTGGTTTGCGGGCATTGGGTCGACGTCGATCAATGCAAATGTTGTGCCATTCACGGACAGCCTCGAGAGAGAAATCGAGCAACTCGGTGAGAGGGGCGTTGTCGGTGACAGCAAAGTCTTCGCCGATGGGGTTCCTGCTCGATGCAACACGGGCTTTGCCAGCGCCTCCAGTCACAGTGCCATCGTCATTGCTGTTGGAATAATCGAAGATGTAATCCATGATCATCCCAAGGTTGTCAAAACGATTGTGGTCAAGGTAGCGGAGGGTGAAATAGAGGATGATGTAGACAAAGGATTCAAGGTCGTCTGGAAGCTCATGCAACTTTGTAGGGTCTTCCAGGAGTCCCACTGACATGAACTGCCAAGTCCCCTGTATGCAATTGTCAGAGCCTGGATCATACTTATATGAGAGGACGAGAACTTACCGATCGAAACTTCTGCCTGGCTCCATTCTTGATATCTTCAACTGCCCTCGCGAGATCCCAGTCGTTCAAGATCCCACGACCATCCGGGGTCATCATGATATTTTTGGCACTAATATCGCGATGAAGGAACCCTGCTTTCACATAGGCGTCGTGATGAGCTACATGGAATATAGCGTCAGAAGTGCATAATAGGACAAAGGTTGAGGATGAACCCAACATACCAATAAGAGCATCAAGAACGACCGTGATAAACTGCTTCGAAGACTTGAAACGATGTAAATGGATGCCAATGAAGTCTTCGCAGAACCTAGTGTGCATCCGTACGTCGAGGGTGTTGGGTTTGGCGCCTAAATTCCAAGGCTCCGAGGTGAAAGTATGTGTAATGGTCTCCTGGTTGAGGTCATCCCCGCAGACGAACTTCGGGATGTTGCGGACGCCCTTCTCGTTCAAAATCGCCAGAATTTCGGATTCTTTCTGCATGCCAGGCTCAATGGAACGCCACGAGTCCTTCAGAAAAACCACCTTCTTGTCCTTCGTGTCCCAGACCGGGTAGCCTTTCGTTGCCCGACCAGTTAAGGACTCAGGCTCTGCCATAGCGCCCCACGCAATGACGTCGCGCATATCATCGCCGTCTGGAACTTGCAAGACCATGACCTTTCGCTCTTCGGACGGTTGCCATTGCATGAGGTGCTCGTGGGCCAGAGCGATCTCCGTGTCGGTTGCAGGGCGGACGGTGGTGTCGTGGCCGCGTTCCGCAGGAGAAAGTTGCGAGAATCGCCAAAAGAAATCGAGGAGGATGGTCCCATTGGTCTGAATATTGAATCTCTCAGACACGATGCCACCCGAACGGTCGATTCGAATGAAACGGCAAAAGGGAACCCCAATCCAGATCACGAATAAGTGGGTTCTGTGTTGGCGTGCGGCCCACTGGGTGGCATATGATGCAATCTGGCCACGACAGTATGCACCTTTGACGGTCTGCGACTCGAAGGAAAAGTTGTCTGTGTCGTCTGAGACGGGGTCGCGAAAAGGGTCGCTCTTGTTGTCCCATGGTTTTACTTCGACGATCATCTCGACAGCATCGTATCGCAAAGTGTTTTGAGGAATGTCTGCTTCCTGGTCGTAGATACAAATGTCGGGCGGGAGTTTCTTCGATTTTGCAGATGTCTTGTCAGGGTTCGCCGAGGTGTCAATCATATCCATGCCAGGAATTGCATGAGATTTTGTGATGAGCGAGATCTGTGGGCTCTATGTTAATCAAAGAATGGAGACAATAGAGAATGTGGGGCTTACAAATGGTTCATACAAGTCTCGTTCCTTTCCAATTATTCGAGGAGTGTTGAACGTGCGGGTGGAGAAAGAAGGGCGTTTCGGACCGTTCGGTTTGCTGGGGAGAAACCTCTTCAAGAACTTGCGAGGTTCCATAGGACCAACCCATTTTCCAGACATTTCCTTGGACATCTGGCCGTGCCTTTCGAGGGCTGTCTCCGTTTTTGCGGCGTAGTGCGTGGTACCTTGCAATTTTGCCTTGACTGGTGAGGAACCAGAAGCACTGGGAGGTTGTCCCTTGGTCAGCTGGGCTGGAGCCGACATAATGAGGAAACTTACTGAAATTCTGGTAAGCAGCCGAAATTTTATATCCTGCTCAGGAAGAAGGCCACCGATGAGCCACAGAAGAGCCACCTTGTCAAAGAATCTACGAACAGCGAACAATGGCCACAGTTCCACGCGTTATGCAATTTACACGTTACGGTACCCCCTGTGGCTCGCGCAGATGTGAGACGTAGTGGACGTGGATGTTGAACGAGATGGCGGTTGGGATCAGGTCGCGGTTGAACCTCGGGCCCAATGCAGATTCATGTGACCAAACGTACTAGGGCAGGCCTTTACGCGTCGCGTTTTTAAGATTCTTCTGATGCACATTCATTGTACCCTTCGACTTTGACGTCGATAGCGTGCAATATGTATTGGGAGGGTAACTCCATTCTTTCAGTAAATGGACATATGGCAAGGATTTGCTAAGGATTTCCGAGGGGTTCCTGGCAGAGCGGTGGTCTTTCAGAACGAGAGATACACATCAGCAATTCCTGGTTGGGTTATGAGTGCTATACGAGGGTATGTAGCACTCCGTAGTTAGGGACCATCACGGTAGATAAGAAGATGCATTACAGCGCTATGGCGCGTTACGTAGCGCTGTGTAACGCGCCATAACGCGGTGTAACGCTAAAATCGAGGTCATTTTGACCCTCAAAATCAGGATTTGCTGATGCATACCACGTCAGAGTTGTCATAAATCTTTCAGCCAGAAAGCACATGGTCTGAGAAGGCGAACAAAGCGAGACCATGTACGAAATGCAGAGATTGTATGCAAATTGAAGGATGCTACGGACGCTACTAATAACCGCTGTAATATTATGCGAGAAAAACACGCGCTTAAGCAACGTGTAAGTCAACACCAGAAGTCATAATAGAAAGAAGCTTAAGAACGGAGTCCAATCCTCAAGTAAAAACAACTGCAAGGCTCAAAAAATATAGGTTGTCTTCTGCGCCTCTCTTTTATTTCGCCTTCGGCAGCTCTCAGTTGTTAGCCTTTTTTTATAAATCTATATTGAGTCCGTCATTGGATTGACTTAGCGGTCCCGGGTCAATAATAATAACAAAAATATTACAAAAAACGTAGCTGTTTGCACAGCAAGCAAGGACCGGCAGAAGAACGGCGGCTTGGACCGAACCTAGCGTCGACGGTCGTGGTGGATAAGTATTCTTTCTGTGGTCAAGTCAGTCGGAAACTGAAGTTACGATAGAGTTCTAATGCAGGCGTTGCCGATAGGACCTCCATGGATTGACTCGTTCAGTAGAAATGACTTTCCAATTGGATAGATATTCTTGTTGAAAACAAAATACATTGCATTGCTACATTCTAATTACTTGAGTTTTACACCCTCTAGTCCGATCCTTGGGGCTCTCCAACAACATCTGCACCTGGAAGCAACCACCGAAAGGTGATACTCATGCGAACACCCCGCTCAATCCAGGCTCCTTTCTCTAAGCCGGAGGCATCTATTGAATCACCATCCACCGTCGAAAGCGAGACGAAATCTCTCGTCTTCTTTTCGATACCATGTGTCCAGTGGTATCTTGCTTCTTCTGAAAGGATAACGATGCTCCTCTCTGGGAGGTACAAGTCCAATCGTGTGCGGTGTTCAGACTTCTCCGACTCCGCCGCGGGTTCTGTAGGCACAACTTTGTCGAAGCGCATAACACTGCCGCTGTTGAAGCTGACGCCGATGATACCGTCTCCGTAACGTCCAAGAAGATCGACATGAGGGGTTATGCCCTCTCCTGGTTGGTATAAATTTATGATAGCTTGTCGTGCCATTGTGGGCTTCTCGGGAAAGAGAATGGCGTAGGTATCTGAGGGTACGGTGGGTTTGAGGAGGACAGACAGCTTCTCGAGAAGTTCAAGGAGGATAGTTGGAAGCCCAGAGGTGGTGTCGGGCGTCGGTATCAGTCGACCAAATAGCATTACTTGATTGGACCTCGGATATTTAAAGTAGGTTTTCATACAAAATCCCATTACGGAGTCAGTTAGGTCTTGAGGGAGGATAATAGTGGGGTCGAAAAATAGCCCAGGGATAGGCGGTGCATTCCTCGTTGCGAGAAATGCGTCGGGCAAAGGCACGATAGAAGGTATATCATCTAGGTCCCCGAATATGGAGTCAGTGGTGGGGGAAGCGGTAAAAAGCGAAGAATCCGAGAGGGTAGGGGTAATTGTGTCGCTTAGGCCAGAATTCAGGTTGGAAGGTATTTCGATCCGTAGCAGCTTGGCACGTTTATGTGACGGTGAAGAAGTAAGAGACGAGGCGACCGCAGTATCCAGCTGGGTGGCTTTAATGAGTTCCTTGACCGGGCTTTGACCTCTCTTCCGTTTGTGTGGGGTATTCAAGATAGTTGAAGAGGAAGTGTCGAGAGGGCTAGTAGTTGACGGCGATCAGCGCAATGCATATCTACGAGATACAGAAGCTCACCATGACTTCAAGGCAATTTCCATCACAGAGACGCGGCGGCGCTGGGATATCCAATCTCCCCCGCCGCTGTTTATCTTGCCTTCGTGGCAAGAGGGAAGCCACATTGCACGGATCAAGGAGAAGCGACACCGGCCCGTGATGTCAACAGCCGGGCGACTCGGGCTACGTTCTCTTAGCTTCCACGTTCATCCCTCCACGCACCTTTAATGCATTAATACCTCGAATATACCCCTAGGGCGGCGCGTATACCTGTAAAATGGTACAAAAGGTACCTGCAGCCGCGAATACGCAGCAACCAAACATCAAAACTCACTATAATGTCGTCAAACTACTGGTCATTGGACTTGCCTTCCACCTCATTTACATCGGTTCAGTCTTCGACTGCTACTTCACAAGCCCGGTGGTTCATGGAATGAAGAGCTATGGAAGGAATGAAGAGGCGCCTGCGAAGCGTTTGGTTCTGATCGTTGGTACGTTAGCACATCTTCCTTGACTCGATCGAACTGACGTGTGAGCTATTGCAGGAGACGGACTCCGTGCAGACCTCCTCTTCAACATGAACGCGTTTCCCGGCATACCAGATGCACCTGCAGTTGTTGCTCCTTACCTGAGATCCATCGCTGAGACGCGCGGCGCGTTTGGGATCTCGCATACCAGGGTGCCTACAGAAAGCAGACCAGGTCATGTCGCGATTATTGGTCAGTCATATTAAGTTTATTCGAGGACAAACGGCATTTAAATTTGATTGTTTCTTTTCAGGCGGCATGTATGAAGATGTTTCCGCTGTCACGAAGGTATTCAAAGCTAGTTGGACTTTGGGAAGTTGGCTCTGACATTGGCTGATTATTTTACGAAGGGATGGAAAACTAATCCAGTGCGTTTTCAATTTATTTCCAATTCCAACTATCTGAGCCTTCCCTCGTGCAGGTTGACTTCGACTCTGTATTCAACCAGTCCTCTTCAACATTCTCCTTCGGGTCTCCTGATATCCTCCCCATGTTCGCGAAAGGTGCCTCGCCCGGCAAGGTCAAGACATGGAGCTACGACGAAGACGAAGAAGATTTTACGAAAGGTCTGTCGCGAACCCATCATCATTCGCTGAAATTTAACTTCTGAACGGTCTTTAGATGCGACTGCATTAGATGTTTGGGTCCTGGATCAACTGAAAGTTCTCTTCAACAATGCTACTACTAATGAACCATTAAAGAACAAACTTCGTTCCGACAAAGTCGTTTTCTTTCTTCACCTACTCGGGTTGGATACAACAGGCCATTCCTACCGTCCTCATTCCAAGGTTAGTCAGTATCTGTCATTTCATCTTTGACGACGACTCACTACTCCTGACACCTCCAGGAATACATGGAGAACATTCGTGTTGTAGATGATATCGTCCGCGAGACGGAGCAGCTCGTAAATAATTTTTATGGGGACGATCGCACCAGCTTCATCTTCACTGCAGACCATGGAATGTCTGCTATAGGAAATCATGGAGACGGACGTATGTTCATTTGGGCCTCTTTCTTTCGTCTCCCACTCTGACCTAAACATGTTCCATAGATCCAGACAGCACAAGAACACCGCTCATTGCCTGGGGCAGTGGCATACGAGGTCCGGCACCCGACAGCTCTCCCTCCTCACATGACACCTATTCGGAACCGTGGCGCCTTGGACATCTGTATCGACGCGACGTCGAGCAAGCAGACATAACCCCACTTATGGCTACGCTTATTGGCATAGATTGGCCAGTTAATTCTGTTGGCGTCCTTCCGGATGTTGACCCGACACGACCTGGATATTTGGATACGCGAACGAAGAAAGGGGGTCAAGTTAGAGGTCAAGCTGTGCTTGCCAACGCAAAAGTATGTTTTAGACTGTTGAATGTAGTTATTCAGCTGATGTTTATCGCTGTAGGTAATTTTAGAACAGTATCGACTTAAACATGGTCAGTTCATCCTCTGGCCGTCTTAAATAAACCTTCTAAACCTGTAATTAATCTAGAGCTCAAGAAACAGCATACCCTATTCTACAAACCATTCAAACCTCTTGCCGATATCTCAACGACGGAGACAGCTCCTCAAATCCTCAAAATCGCCCAACTAAATGCGCAAGGAAACTGGGCTGCTGCTCGCCAAGTCTCCTTCGAAATCATCCAACAAGCCCTCGCCGGCCTGCACTACCTCCAAACATACGATCGATTCCTCATCAGAGGCTTCGTCACCGCTGCCTACCTCGGTTGGGCTGCATATGCGTCATTGTACATCCTCCGCCCATTTGACAAAGTTCCTTCAGCATTTAACTCGTCACCATTGGTTTCAGGCTTCACTGCAACCAACTGGATCGTCCTCGCTGCCTTTTGGCTCTTGTTCGCCATTCAGAGGTCTCCGTGGAGCTTCTACGTGTATATCGCTTTTCCGTGTTATTTTTGGAGGGGATTTTTGGCCCAGATGGTTCCAGCTATGAAGGACTACCTTCAGGCGGGTAATAGTAGGCACCCGTATACCCATGCTTTTCTCAACGGTATAATGGTAGTGGGCTCCTTGCTTGGCATGGTGGTAAGCTTCCTGCTGTCGGTACTTCCGCATCTAAGCTCATCGACCCCATTCTTTAGCTTGGATACACACATAGATCTATCTGGAGCATCGGGTTCCTCCTTATAGGCGTCGTCTGGCCTCTAACGTGGAACAAGGGATTGCTTTCTAACAATTTACCGACAGCTATGTTCTGGACATTGTCTTGCATGATCACGGCCATCTTCCCTCTCCTTTCCGTAGACAAGAGCGAAAGCCTTCTGACTATGTGGGTCATGGCCGTTCCCTGTTCTTCCAATCTCTGATGTTGAGCCTTTTTTTCAGTACACTCGGAGGAGCCATTATTTTGTTATCAGGAGCCTCTGCTGCTTACTACGTCCTCAAGACCGAGAAGCACCTCCAGAAATGCCGGATTCTCTTCAAGCTATTCTTCTTTCAAGGCATCCTTATCGCCCTGACGATGCTCATCACATCATCGTCCGTCAAAAGTCTGCAGGACAAGAAAGGCCTGCCCTTATTCAACCAAGTTGCTGGTTGGGTAATTCTTGGTAGGTCCTTCCGAGATGTAATCATCCGTTCTAAGTCTCATGATATTTTTATAGTCTTTGCGTCGTCGTTGCCTTTCCTGTCTCCGGTCAAGACTCATACCAAGTACTCGAAAATTCTTATGTATTACCTCGGCTTCGGACCTTGCTTCGTCATTTTGTCCATCAGCGTCGAAGGTCTTTTTTTCGTCGCGTACTCGGCCACGTTAGCTGCCTGGATTCGGGCCGAGGCAATCGTGCGGCACAACCACCTCCCAGATTGTTCGCTGCAGCCTTTAAGTCCAAGGTCGCCCATCGCAGCAAAAAGAGACCTATCCCAAGCTCTGGCTTATGCTTTTCAGCCGGACGATCTCCGCATCGCGCTCTTCTTTTTGTTTTTTGTGCAAGTGGGCTTCTTCGGAACTGGAAAGTGCGTTTCGTTTTTGACCCGCGACTGATTGAAACGCTATGCTAATTTTCTTCATTAGTGTCGCATCAATCAGCTCCTTCTACCTTGCCCCAGTGTATCGCTTGATTCCTATCTTTAGCCCGTTCTACATGGCTACACTCCTGGTAGGTGTTTGAGATTTTGCTTGCAGCAAGACAGAGAGCTGATCCGGCCCGCAGCTTTTCAAGATTATAGCGCCATACATCATCCTCGCTGTTAGCTTCGCAGTGCTCAATGATGCTCTCCGCCTGCCTCCCTTCTCGCTGCTTCTCGTGGCATTGACTCTAACCGACGGTAACCAACCACGTTGTAATCGCAGAATGCCCACAGTCTGACTCTGGTTCTATAGGGATGACGCTGGCGTTCTTCTACCAAGTGCAAGACACGGGATCATGGCTGGAAATTGGCCAATCAATAACGTTCTTTTGTATAGCGTCCTTACTGCTGCTGTGGTCTGCAGGTATCAGCGCTGCGGGGGAGTTCCTGATGTCTGATGTTATCACACCCCACCGTTTCGCGAGCCCACAAAAGACGGAATAGAAACTTGGAACACGTTCTTTTCTTGTTGATATGAGCAGTCCCTTTTGGGGGCAGGGCCTGAGGGCTTTATTCTTCGATGGCATTGCGCGCTGATATCACGACAGGACGATAAGCAAAGCCGGAAGCGCCGCCTATGATCTACATTGCTGCGCCTTCGACAAATCGTTGCCTGAGCGCCTACTGCCAAACAGTCCGCAATGTCGATTTCGCCCTAACGACATGCTTTATTATTGTCTTCGGTCTCATGTCAACGTTCAGACCCGTCGAACGTACGAGGTATACATACAAGGGAAAAGCGATTGAAACATTTGAAACGTCCGCAGCCACACAATAAAGGTAGTTGATGATAGGCCAGATCCGGCAGAAACGGGAGCGTCCTCTGTCGCCTGTCGCGCTCATGTCGTTCCACGATGCTGGCAGGTATATAACAGGGTCGTATATGCAGCATCTTTGTAGGCCACTCGAAATTGTCGCCTGCTTCACTCTAAACATTTACGCGCTTTCTCGGACCGCGGAGCAACATGGACAAAGGAAAAGGCGGAAAATCCGAAGACTTTGATAGTCTAACCTCTGCCCCTATCCTACCCCCTGATTACTCTATCCCCTCTACACGATTTCCGAACAGATTCTCGACGCGTTGGAATCCTCCTCCTCGTTACTCCTCTGTTTTTGGCGACCCTGAAGAACCTATTCGACCAGGGGCATCGCATACGGAACACGAATTTTCGCTTCAGACTGGATTATTTACGAGCAAGACCTGGGTGAAGCTTCGAATTCTTACTCGTCCGTCGAGCGTTGCCCATAATGTGCCAAAGATATTCGGAGGCGAAAACGTCTCTGGTATTGTCCAACTCATCCTTGAAAACAGTCAAGCTGTCCATTCCATCGTGATCTCGGTTGGTTTTTTCTCCTTTTCTTTTTATTATTATTTTCTAATGGGTCGCTTAAACACCAGCTCAAAGGTCGAATCGTGACAAGTTTCTCGGACATCGGTTACTACACCTTCTTAGACCATTCATGCACACTGTGGGACAAAAGTATGGGTGATCCGCGAGCGCCTGGGGTAGGCACTAAATTCGATGGCAAGCTCACTGGAGACTACGAGCTCTCTTTCTCCTTCCCTTTCCCGACTGAAGTCGATATCTCTTCTGGAACTGTTGGCAAAGGAAAACGCGTCGCACGAGCCGCGCTAGTCTGTCCTACTCCTCAGACTTTCCTGGAACGCGACATCTCCGCGAATGTCGAGTACGAACTCGTCTTGCAAATCACCCACGGTATCCTTCGAACTGTCAGCAAGTAAGGTGTTTTTATTCTTCCTCGTCCTCGAACAGCGCCTTTCTGAATGCTTCAGGCTTAAGGCGCCGGTCATCTTTATCCCACAGATAACGCCTGATCCCCCTTCGCCCATGCGCCAGTTAGCGTATAGCGAGAATGCGATGCTTCCGGGACCAGAGGCCGATATAGAGGGTTGGACCGCCCTTCGTACACTGGAGGTACGTGGGGTGCTTGAGGATAGCAAGCCTTTCGATCTTCATTACACCGTAAGATTCTCCTCCTGTTCTTAACCGTCGCTCACGCCCTCAAATACTCTAGATTTACCTCGCAACCCCGGTCGGTCGATTATTTATCGTTATTTCAAGCCACATTTTCTCAATTCCTGGCATCGCCGTCTCTAGCTCTGCTACACTAGAGGGACCGTCATCCCTTGCTACCTCATGATTTCTAGCCAGGATACTCGCTCGTTGGACACTTTCGCCGATCCCAAAAGCCAACACGTTCGGTTAGTGCGAAGAGTTCGCTTCTTCGAAGATCCGTCCAAAGGTATTGGCCAGTCTCTCAGCGGCAAAGCTCCTAAAGTCTCAGAGGAGATCGACGAGGCAGAGGTTGCTGTGTGGTGGGTGCCACCCAAAGACGTCCCGCAAGAACCAAGCAACAGACGGTTGGAGGGAGAAATCCATCTGTCGAACGACCTGGTTCCGTCTTCTGACTTCTTGCCGTTCAAGGTCGATGTGTGTTTTTATTTCTTTCTCAATCGCTTCAGTTCCGGGATAACGCTACTCTCTCAGTACGTCGTCGAGGTCTTGCCTTTTCGCGCATCTGGTGTCACATATTCTGCGACGAGTCACTTCCGTGTCAAAGGGGACAAGAGCCCAGAAGTTGCTCTTTCGCATCCCGTTACCATTGCAACCTTCAGGGCAAAGGGTCCTGTCCCAACTACATTTACCGAACGACAAAAATCATCTAAGGCGAAGAAACGCCAGCGAGACGGGGAGGAAAAATTCCAGAGGATGAATGAATATGGTAATTCATGACATTTTCGTATTAGAATCGGGCTAATTCTCTTTCGCCCCGAGGTTTAAATTTGGGCGTTTCCTCGTGACGACTACGTTCGACTTGAAGTCTTCGAGTCTGCAGGTCGGATGCAAATATTTAATATCAAAGCTCTCAGTGGGTTTACATATGCTGCTCTCGTTTAATCCCCAACAATACTAAATCTTTACCTCCTATTTACCACCGGGGGATGATCGACGAGATGTTGGTTGAAGGGGCCTCCGTAGCAGAAGACCTACCAGTAGGGTATCATTGTGAATGTGTCAAACACATTACGCGCTTAATATTGGGGCGGGCGTCGATGGTCCTTCGCGACTCTTTGCATGATGGGTTCATTTGCTTTCCGAGCTCGTTTTCAATTCGGACTCTGGTGTCCTTTTGAGCAGATGAACAGCCGAAAGAGAAATATGTCGTTGAACGCTGAAGCTTAGCGAGTCTGTGGATGAAGCAATTCTCGAACGAGAGATGAATATTTGATACAAAGATAAGATAACTTATAAGTGATTACGATAAGATAACCCGGATACATGGAGTATACGCAGTACATGAGGATCCAGAATGACAAAAGAAAGAGAAGAATGAGATTATCAACAAAATTGCACCGTAGCATCATGCCTCCCAACATCATATCAGGACAGAGGCCAAAGTTCAAACCCGAATGGGTCCTCTGCAAACGAAAATCCCTCTAGGTGCGCTGATGAGTCGAGTGGTTCGTCCTGACCCTCCGCTAGGTAATTCAATTCCGGAAAATCCACAACTCCGACTGTGCTCCCCGCTTCAACTGCATCTGTACTCGTCGTGGTCGGAGGATCCGATAGCGAGGCAAAGACCGTATCCAAAATGCAACTGACCTCGTGCTCGACGCCTGTGCAGTTGCACTCCGGGTATGGCTTCGAGGAGGGCGTCTCCTTTGCACACTGTTCGTCGGCTTTGAAGACAGGCTGGCATTCCGTAGACTCCTCAGCGTCGTCGGGCAAGTCGCCGTCGAGAAATTCGACACCGTCCACTTCTGCAAGAATCTCCACAGCCTTGCGCTTTCCAAGTGCCTTCTCCGATGGACGATAGGGTTCAGTGGGAGGTGGGCTGTCAGTCCTGTTGCGGCTTCTCTTAACAACCACCCCAGGAACAAGGCGCTGGGTCTCCTCCGCAACCTCTCTAACGACTGGAGAGCTGCGAATCTTGTCAGTCCGTGTTCTGGTATTTTGCAAGGACGCCTTCTTCTGGGCCTTCTTCTGGGTCCTTCTTCTTGGCGTCCTTTTGAGCCTCCTTCTGCGCCTCCTTCTGAGCCTTCGCCCGTACCGCCCGGCATCTTTCTGCTTCAGTCGCTGGAGTGGAGATATCGAAGTTGGTTGCGCCACCAACGTTCACGCGGAACTCGACAAACGAAGAGGACTGGGGTGCGGGAACATCAGGAGGGCCTGCTTTCCTGTTCGGGAAACCGGGAAACTGGTTTGGGATTCACTAGGCCTACGGTCGGTATCGACGATCGGAGCGGAAGAGCGTTCTCCGGCGGCGGACAAGTATCCGTCAGTAGACGGTGACCAGCGGCTCGGGCTGCCTGGGCAAGCCGTTCTGCAGACGCAATGCGTGCACGGGCATCCTCGTAAGCAGATATCCGTTGTTGCAGGTTTGTCACCACTTCTGGCATAGGACAAGGGGGATATGGCACGACGGCGGAGACACCATGATCCACCTGTAGTTGTTGCTGGTGTTGTTGCTGGTGATGCTGGTGGTGTTGGTGTTGAGGAAAGGGCGGTGTAGAACACTGCGACCCAGCGACAGGAGGAGGACCGTGGCAGGCGTCAGTAGTGCCGACTGTGCTCATGACACTGGTGAATTTCTGAGATCCCGAGTGGTTTTCGCAGGAACAGCCCTATGTTCAAACTCCCGTTCCATCAGCCTTCACCTCTGAAGCCGTTCATGGTGCCGCTGATGATGATTTACTCCTCTCCTCACGGTGTTGCCACCGAGCTGCAGGTGACGTCGTCCGGATGGAAAGCGGATGTATATGTTGGGCGAAATCCCACCGCTGGAGTAGATGCTTCTCCAGCATTCCTGCCAGCCGTCCGCACATGGCCGCGGTCATGCTCAACGGAAGGTCCATCTAGGGCTGCCTGTTGTGAAGATGCCGCAGGTTGGGGATTGGAGAAATTCGCGAGCACAGGGGGCATCAAACTCGACGGCTGCTGACGCAAGGGAGGAACAGTTGGTGGGAGGAACAATTGGTGTGCACCAGATACTTTCCTTGAGTTTCTCTTACTCTTCCCCTTCAGCACCATATAGGAACCCTGGATCTCATTCCTGCCGATTGACCGCTCATCGGTAGGACCACGACGATGATGACGATGGCCCCGCTGACGCTGAAGGGAAGATCCTTCTCGGAAGACGTCAAACTTAGGCATTGCCCACGGGGTTCGCCAGGGTGGGGTCCCAGGTGTTGTTCGTCTGGTGGACGCCGCTCCAGTCGAGTTTGGTCCTGGTTGAGGAGCGGGGGGGTTCTGTCCTCTTCTCTCCCTATGGACGCTGGGATTACAGCCATTGGGAGCTGGGAGGGCAAGAGTCGCAATGACGCTGGAAGTTGCCACTGAGGACGGAGCAACCCCGTGGCCGAATGGCGATTGATCTCGAAGATCATCGTGGTGAGCTCAGTTGGGAGGCGGAGCGGCGCGTTGTCCGAGTCGGCTCGTCGTGCTAAACGCCCGTCACCGACCGTCAGCATCGGCGAGCATAAGAAACCAGACGTTGCTCTCACCTCCGAAGCTAGCTGACTCTGCGTTCTTTGTTTAGTCTGTGCTGATGATCGGTGGATGTCTTGGTCCGGCGGGCGGTGGTTCCGCGATATTAAACGCATCGATGGGGGCGTTCGAAGCGGCGGTGGGGGGGGTGATAGAATGAAGAGAAAATAGTGGAGGCAGCGTTGAACTCGTCCGAGATGATATAGCATTGGATTGGGTGGCATGGACAAAGGTGTTATGTGGCTGAAAGGACTCAGTTCAGGGAAAGAGCCATTGTACAACGTCAGACTGGCCATCGCGTCCGTGCCACATATTCCAGAAAAGGGAATTTTGTATAAAGGTGGTTGCGGAGCTTTGTGTTAGGCACACAACGGGCACCGGGGTTGGTTATGAGGGGGAAATTATCTTTGAACCGTGATGTATAGCCCATCACGCTGCATTGCATTTCGTTGGCAAGGAGGGTAATATTGCGATACCAATCTCTTCGAAGCCCGCCCTGGTTGTAAAAGCTAGCATCGAAGCTGGGGTCTCTTTCGTGAATTCTCTGTGATTGCCGTCCAAATTAAACCACGAAGGATACAAGATCTTCATTCCTTCGACCCAAGTTACATCACATCCAACTCACCAACGCTAATGTAACAAAGAGTGTTACATGATCCGGCCAGATATCGAGGGTTTGCAGTCATCGATGATGATGAAAGCGAGGGAAAAGAGACAGTAGGGGAGCGCCAGAATGCCCTTCGGAGAGTCTACCAATGACGCAAAAATGCAAAACGAAGAGGAGGAAACGAAGGCGAAAATTCAGAAGAACAGAGGACATCCGATGATGTTCCTTGCGCGGCGACACTGCCGTTCCACCACAGCCGAATCCTGACGCACCTGGAGAACGGGACAGATGGTAAAAAGGAGCAGTGCATGTTCCATAGAACACTCTAGCGATTCATCCTACGAGTAGGCCAAGATCCTGCTGTCGTGCGAAAGGCGACTCGGAAGTGTTCCCTTCAGTCCCTCGGGTTGGATAATCACCCATGACATAGGTAACCTGGCTCGCGGTTGAGAACGGGTACTAGCAGTGAGCATCACCGATGTGATGGAGGAAGGACGGACAATGCATTCTTTTTGCATGGGAATATTTCGTGAAGAGACGGCACCTCCAACGCACGATAAAATGTGTCATTCCGAGACAGGTAAAATCAAATTACAGCAAGAACCAGAGACAAGCATGGCAGAATAAAGGCACGACGGGAAGAGACCAGGTATTTTAGTACACAATTTACTGTATCAGAGGCATAAGGGTGTTTCACGGTAAGGAAACTTCGGCCCAACTCGAGTCCCAACTTGGTTTCCAACTTGATCCAAGTTGAGACCAAAGTTGGGGTGCAAATCGTGCTCCGACCCACGATTTGAGGCCCAACTTTGATGCCAATTTGTCCGTCTGATTTTGTAACAGTTCCCCTCCCCTGCAGTCCTCCATGGCTCTTCCGAGACAAAAACTGGATGATTCTATAGATACGGACCAACTGTATTATATTCCTATTTTTGATAAATTTTAGGGGAAGGAGGTGGGTCAGAAATCAGGAAGTCGGACCTCAAGTTCGACGCCAAGTTGGGATCGGCCACTCAGACGCCGGGTCTCAACTCGGCTTTCCAACTTGCGCAAAGTTGGGACTCAAGTCGGAGGCCAAGTTGGGTTGATTTTGGCTACCGTGAAACACCCTATAGTTAGCTATCGATACAGGGATATGAGAAGTAGATGAAGAGATGGATACGGTACAAGGGCGGTGTCTCCATGGACAGTGTGTGAATACGGGTTTACGAGAGAAAAAAACCCTGCAGAGTCAAAGGAGTACTGATGACGAAAGCGGGAAGAAAACGAGGAGACGGTAGTGTAGACTCGGAGGGAGAAAGCAGTTCGGAGAGCATAACGATAAGCAGAAATAAAAAATAAAGAAGCGATGAGAACAGAAATAAAAACTTGACTTTTCATGAAAAATTCACTGGAATCGAGGGTGTTGTGCGCCGTGTTTCTCTGCCCAAGCGTCATATGTGTCACCATGGGGTTCCACTGCACTAGCCTGATGAGTGTAGTACCCCTCCCAGTCTATGACAAGAACATGGCGGGGATGCTGAGGGTAGTACGCTCCCAGAGGTGTCGAGTAGTAGTCAGATGGGAGTGCCACCTGGGCTTGAGGCCCCCGGTTGTCGTACAAGGAATCTTGCTGAAGGGAGGCTTGAGCATCAAAGGCCATTTGTCGTCTGTGACCCTGGGGCAGGGGTTGACGATAGGTCGCGGTTCTCTGGTTACCGCAAATGGGTACAACAGGGGCTATCTGGGAACCGGAGGCGTTCAAGATGGTCGGCGCATCGTGGTGCTGATGGCAGACAAGGCCTGGTGATTGGTATTGTATTATATTGTCTGAGTAAGCACTTGGTTGGGCCACGGCCATATGAACGGCCGCCCCGACGTGAGGCACACCAGCCGCTTCCTGGTGGAAATTGACGTTGGCCGCTTGGGTGGGCACACAAGCGGCAGGGAAATGAGGACCCTGGTTTAGGCCGTGGGGCCGTCCGTCACTTGGGAGAACAGCGCTGTGGAATCCGGTCGCGTATATTTCTTGTGGACCACTCATGGATGGTGCCGAATGAAGTGGTGATGTAGGAGGCTGGTCGGATGATGGTTGAGAACGCAGAGCGTAATCTTGAGCTACAACCGCCATCGAATTGTCCGGCTTTGGTGCCAAGTCAGTGTTCACATCGAAGGCAGGAAAAGAATTTTTGATCCTTGATTGCTTCGTCTTTGCCTGAGAAGTGGATGGGCCCGCAACGGTAGGTAATCCGTACGGGCTCGCATTGTCTCGACGCGTCAGTCGCTTGGTGTTCCCAGAGCTCGGTTGGTGCCCACCGGCTGGGGCGGTGGCAGCCACAACAAGGCCTGCCCTGCTAGAAGCTGGAGGAGGTGGAGGGATGAGAGCATGTCCTCTGGAGGACACACCGGGGTCCAGACGGCCATTGACACGAGTCACTTTAGGCCTTTTACCCGGCTTGAGCTGCGCCGCGTCCTCTGAAGGGGCATGTTGATAAAAACCAGTGGTCGTTAGCCGTTTCTTTAAGGGATTCTAAGAAACATCAGCGACAACTCTGGACGATAGACAACAGTGTCGACCGACCTTCAAGCCCTTCTTCACCCTCCTCTTCTTTGTCTCGCCTGTCGCCGAATCCAAAGAAGGAATCTATCGTCAGTCAGAATAGATTCAACGGGACATAGGTAGTGAAAACATACCCCGGTCCTCTGTGCCGCTCTTGCTCCCCTTTCAGTACCCTCCACTTGATCCTCAGCAGGTTTCTCCTGTTCCGCCTCTGGGTTATATGGAGCCTAGAAGGTATTATAGGTCAGTAATTGAGGGACTGCAGAGAGGCTCACCGATTGTCCATCCACGGACGTCGGGGGAGTTGATGCTGACTCGCTAGTGCTGCTTGGGGTCGTACCAGACGACTGTGAAATGCTGGACTCATCGTCCTAGAAAGAGGCTTTAAGACGTGGCAGGGTGTTATACAAAGAGGCTACAAACATTTTGGTCGACAAATGGAAGACGTGCAGAAAAACCGGCGTCCTTCTGATGAGTGGCATTCATCTGAATATTGACTGCTGGGGTTGTCTGTTCCACTGAAACGAGAGCGAACGGGGCCTCTTGAAGTGAGGCCAAGATTGAGGTGGATACAGAGGGGTTGTGGGATTGGAATTGCATCGCGAAGGAGGGATATCGAACAGCTGGGTCAATGGCCGCGGTCAGGAAATATTGTTGTAAGGCAGATTCGGGGATTGTTTCGACGGTCGTAAGGGTGTCACGGTGGTAGTGAATGTGGAAGGGAGTGAGCTGAAGGGCTGGCAGCCAGTCGACATGAGGGAAGATGATACGGAGGGGCAAGAGGAAGGAGCCGCAATTCTTGATTTAGGGGTGAAATTGGGTAACGTGACCGCGTTCAGCATCGGGCAAACATTTCGACCAAACGGAGTTTCCCCTGTAATCAGCGATATGGCCCGTAGGAATTGCGTGGAATTCGTCGGAAGGTTTACACATTGCATATGGCGTCTAGGTGCTGCAATAATATCTATGCCTGGACCTCCCATCAGTCGCGACGCCTAAGCTGAGGACGCGACTCACCTGTTCATGGTATGTTTGTCCAGGAGAATCCAGTTGGCGAGAATCATTATTAAGAGGGCTGAGTACCATGGTCTTGTGGTATCCAGTGGTTCTCTGTACTTCCCATGCCAGGCGGTGTTCATTCGTGCCTCCCAGGTTGACGGAGAACGAAGGAAAGGCGGCATGCAGGAAACCAGGGCATCAATGACATGGTTAGCCAGAATATAAGGATAGCCGTCTCACAAGATATGAATGGCTCTCTTCTTGAGACTTGGTGGAATGCGGTGGTACCCGTCATCGCACAACAAGTGCCACACAAGCGTATCCTCGTGACGGACACCTCTGGGACACCCGAAAAAAGAGCATGTTCTGTCAGGACAAGCAGGAGCTGGGCGTCATGAAGATTTTGTCGACTCTATATCGTGGGCCGGTTGGGTTGGTCTTCAGGAGAAGCAAGTACAGATAACCACGACGGAAAATGCTTCTGGGCAGGATGGCGGCCTCTTCCAAAAGACACAAATCGACAGTCATGGATTGTTTCCATTCTTCAGGCACAGTTGTGCTTTAAATTACGAAAGGATGAGTGAAATATATCCTTGCCTAGTACGACAGGAACACTACTCACCCAATCGACTCATCCACCAGGACCCAACATCGACAGCCATACATCGGATTCTGGGAGGCTAGCAAAGTAAAGCATATGGCACAGACAGTTTTCCAGCATGAGATCCTTGAATTGTACGTCTTCTCAGCCGCTTCTGGCATATTCAGAAGGTATTTCTAGGTGCTTGGGCGACGAGCAGAAACATGGAAGCAGAGGCGACTCAGGCGAGCATTTTTGACATTGCGACAGTCAGTAGGTCGCCCAAAGAGCATATGAGTAGCAGAGTTTCTTATTCCTGAGTTCTTACACAGTGCTTCATCGAGAAATGCGGCGAGATGGAGAAGTTGCGAAGGCCAACGTCATTCGGTCCAGTCAAGCATTTTTTGCACTATATCTGCAATAAATTGAGGCGAAACTTCGACGAAGGTCGTTTAGATAAGGATAACAACACTTACTCATATGAAAATGGGGCTAGATTTGTTCGTCGTCTCAGGAAAAAAGCAAGATCTCAGAAACCATCGTTATCAACGAGATCAGAGGGCGGGATGTGACATAATACATTTCAGGATATAATTCCCTTTCCGGGCCATTGCGTAGAATGTCACGGTCCGCATGCGTTCGTAAAAAATGAGATCGGGACGCGCAGAACGAGAAGTACAGGTACAAAAAGGAAGAACAGCGTACAAACAGCGTAACTACAACTCTCCTTCAACTCTCCTCAGGCAGGAAAAGGAGAGGCCGAAGCTCCTCGTCGCTCTTTTCAGGGTATGTTTCCCTGAGAAACCTGTAAAGAGGATCTTTTCTGTTGATGGAGATCCCCAAGGAGTCCACGTCGGCGAGCGAAGAAACAGAGACAGGATTAGCAGCAATCACCAGAATATAGGCAGAAACGTACCGCATCGCTCGTTGTCCCCTGATCAATCGACTTCGACCCTTCAGACAATGGCTGCGACCAAGGGACCTTTTTCTTGGGGGACGACCTTGTTGAGGTGTTGGATGACATTAACGCATTGCGGAAGAAGAGGGTCGTTGAAGTAAGGAAATGTGAGGGTATGTCAACAACCGCCCGTTGGTGTGAGCGGATTTCGTTTCTGGGGGGAAAGACAAGGCCTTCGTCCACAATTTATATGCAGAAAATTTGTAACCCGCCGTATCTTGCGCATGCGCACGCGTCTACCGAAAACGGAACACTGTAGCGAAGGGGCGGAAATAAAAATCCGGACATGTCACGGTACGTTCCTTGTGCGACGCTCATGTATGCTGTCGATTGAGGCGCGCCGATGAGAGGAGGCTGGCTGAGCGGCAGGTGAGATTGCGGAGAGTAATCCCGAGCTGCGGCCGGTGCCAAATTGTCTAGCTCCAAGCTTGATACTGAGGCTGGGCCCATATCGGCGGAGGGAAAATGAGTTTCAGCTCTTGATTCCTTGCCCTATGCAACGGACGCGCCAACAATGGCAGGTAGCCTGTACGGGCTCGCGTTGTCGCGACGCGACTGCTGCCGCTTGGTCTTCGCGACGCTTGGTCGGCGTCCACCCGGCGGGGTGGTGACAGCAACCGAGGAGCCAGACGCGATGAGAGCTGGCTGGGGGGAGGGATAAACGCATGTCCTCCGGTGGAAGCCCCGGGATCTAGACAGCTGTCGGCGCGTGCCATTTTGCGCGTCTTGCCCGGCTTATACTGCGAGAGGTCGTCTGGAAATACGTGCTGATAGAAGCCAGTTTCCGCCAGGCGTTTCTCTAAAGGGCTCTGCAAAGGTTCCTCAGAGACAAATGTGGACAGACGGAAACAACACCGACTAACCTTCTTCGCCTTCCTCCTCTTGGTCCCAGTTATTGCTGAAGCGGAAGAAGCAATCTTCTATTGTCGTTGGTTGAAAGAGATTCAAACAGGCATAAGTAGTGAAATCATACCCCAAACCTCTGCGCCGCGTTCGCTCCCTTGCCAGTGCTCTCCGCTTGTTTTCTCAGCGAGATTCTCCTGCTCCTCCCCTGGGTGTTAATGGTGGCTAGAGGGTAATAGAGATAAGCAACGACGAACGAGAAATTGAAGACAGACTCGCCGACTGTTCCACTCACGGGCGTCAGGGGAGTTGACGCCGACTCGCTTTCACTGGCCGGTGGCAGCCGCAACGAAGTTTGGATAGAAGGATTGTTTGACAGTAGGTCAATCTCGGCCGCGTCGAGGCGTAATTGGGGTACGTTAAGGACATGAGAGGCAATGCTCGGAGAGGTCGTGGATGGGTGAGTGGTACCCCATCGTTTCAAGAGGCTATTATACGACTGGCGGAACAAAGGAGAGGTCCTGGTGGCAGGGGAAGGCCTATGTCACCATTGTGAACGCGAGGGCCCTTATGTAAGTCCAAAGGGATACAGTTTCTAGCTCTTCGTTGACCACAGAAATGAACAGAACAAACGCGTACTAGTTACGCGTTTATCGGGTCTTCGGGCAGGACCTTCGATACACTCTTTGCTGGATGAGGTGTTCTCTCGCTTTTTATTGGTTCGGACGTGTTCTTGGTGAAAAATGAGCAGCGGGAAGAGAAATACATCATTGAAGCTGAAGGCCAATGCGTAGTGAATTCGCGATGAGTTCATGAGGCAGTTCTACATTTGCGGAGAAGAAAATAAGGATCGTGGTTCCGGCACGGTCCAATGAGAAAGTGATAAGATATACTGAGATTTGAACAAAGAAGATAAGATAATTGTGATCTACCTTTTCCTAAACCAGAATTCAGCCACATCGCGTCGACTCTACAGCCAGAGCTCTGAGGGCCACCCCTGAAGCAATGTCCCCTTTCAATGGAGCCCCACGGTGTGTCTTGAAGTTGAATTCGCATTCTCTCATCGTAGATCTTGGTCACCGAATCGCTAGAAAGGAGGGGCCATCATTCGTCGTCTCGGTATATCATCATGGTCTCAACCCGTCTATATTATGACTCGGATTAGATTGAGAAAAGGTAAATTGATCTCGCGTTTTTCCAGGAGAAAAGCCTGGACGACGACAAAGGCAACAGGGTCATCGTAATTTCTGACAATGAAGCCGATTGTAATTGGCATTTAGTGGGCCTTTTTCAATCATCGTTCGCCATTGGAACGCCAAGCGAGACGTCCTTCCTCGCAAAGTGGACAAGCTAGAGGCGCTTATCGAGGCGGCCAAACGGTGCAACGCCAAAGGGCGCTGCTACCACCACGGCTGACTTGTACCAAGTGTAACGGCCAGGGAGGCGTTGTGGAGGACACTTCGTAATTCTTACCTTTCTTACTGTATGTGTATGGAGCCAAGTTCCACTGCTTACTGTAAGATATCGAGTGAACTTCCTCGATAGACAGGTGGAATTATCGTCCGAGGAATATTTTTTCAATATTCAGCAGAAATGTGTCGTGACGAGTGAGGGAGCTAGGACATGGGTGGATTGTGAACTTGGTTCGTCTTCAGCAGAGTCGGGTTTCTAGACTCTAAGGAGCTGAGCTCAAGTATGAACTCGTCAGAATTCGACTTGAACCTGGAAGTTGGAGTAGCGGACGTCAGACGCGCGACAGAAGTTCGAAGAAGTCCTCGAAACGTAGTTACGTCGCGGGTTGGACAAAGAACGTTCCCTTGATATCGTTATGAGAAGAGCTATTTGAGCGTATCCCAAACCATCGAAGTAATTCTGTAGATTCGAGAGCTCGGCGTTCTACTTAGCAGGAGTTCGGGCCATCATAACCACCGCGACCACATTGAGGATCCGGAGGAGAACCGATGCGCCAGGGAGGCCGCAGCTCGCAGTGCCTCGCACCCCCTTCAATTCTGCCAGGCTGAGCGACACGTCCGGGTTCCGTGCAGACTCGCGGAATGTGCACAAACTCCTAGTCTCTGTCTCTAGTCAAGGGTTCGAGGTCAGGAATTCTAAAGGACGCGAGGCCTTAAGCGGAGAGAGGGTTTCGGCGCGGTACAACTGTTCTGGGGACAATTATTTAATATTATATTATTATTCATCCAGCGCAGGAGGGCGAACCTGAGTTGGAATGCAGTGTTACTGTTTAGAGTCCTCGTGCCGCAGTTTGCCATCGGTCGTTGAGACTGAGCTTCTGTCTTGTACTTCAGTGCTCTATCGAGCGCCAAACGCAACACCAAATGTCGAGGACACCTTTGCAAAGCAGGGCGTCAGGCAGAAGTCTCGAAGCAAGTGCACCGCGTTAAATAATCCCGCCAAGAGACCTCGATGCTGCGAGGTTCCGTGCACACTCCGCGAGTTACTGCTTCTCTTCTAGTCAAGGGACCGACCTCCACGATAATGGGATTTTCGCTGAGGGAGGGCTAGCAGAAGCAGAGCGAGCCTACGGAGCCGGAAGGAAAGGGACGTGGACTCCTGATGAATTTTTCGTCAGGGAGGATGTTGGAATTGGGCAGCTGAACTTGAGGTGACGGGTTCCATGGGACTGGGTGCTGGAGGGCATTGGAGGTCATGCAAGGAGGAGAGTACCTGTAGAGAAATCGGGGCAAGCAACAAGCAAGTTTATGAGGGTGCGTTGAGCGATCAACGTAACGTCAACATCGTAAGCTACTTCGCCGGGGATTGCCGGAGCGGTCCGCTTCTGAACCCGGCGCTCGCCCTTCTGACAGATTATCATCGAACCTCAAATCCAAGCTTCAAATTTTCAAAGCTCTTCCTCTCCTCGCGTCCTCCACACTCCCGGAAGGGTTGAACAAGATACATCATCCACGACTACCACGGGCTTCAAATCGTCCACCGCGGCTCTATCTATTCTAGTGCTGCAACATCCATCCGGCCCAGGACCATCCCGACTCGCCCATCTCCCACCGTCTTCATACCAAGCGACACATTAAAGCTACAACCCCTGTTTTCCTGTCTGAATGACAGCATCTGCTTTGCTAGCCCTCACGGGCAGATTACATGGGCCTTCAACTCAAAGTTTACCATGTCCGCCTTGCCGCAGGCTCTAAAGCCACACAAAATGCCTTGGGGTGCGAGAGATTGGGCCCCTGCCTGCTGAATTCCATGGAGTCATGATCGAATTCGACATCTCTGTCCTCCGTCGAGCGAATCACGCGATCGATAACCTCGAACTTCAGTTGGAGGGGCATCAGGAACTCGCTATTATTGACAGCCTAGTGGACTTGGTACTGAAAACGAGATGTCTTAAACTAGAGGAGAGGCACTTGCTGAAGCGATCAAACGGCACAAGGACAAAGGATTGCTCCCCCCGCAGATGATTTGTACCAACTGCAAGAGGCGTCGTGCAGCCGGGCTCGAGGTCTGCAACGGACACTTTGTAATTGATAGAATATGACCACACACACATATATATAGTCCAACAACACCAGTCGCGCCCTTCTTGCCAATAGCACCACAGTACATAGGTTAATCTTTAATCAATTGGTATTCAATAACCGAACGTAAACAGGCAATGCAGGCGAGAGAGAGAGAAGAAACGTGATGAGGGACGCGAGAAAGGACATATACTAATAATAGACATGTGCGTGTGCTACTGCTGCTGCAAAATTCAGATAGCGTGTACCGTAACTGGAAGGGGGGAAAGAGCATGCTACGTGATACGTGAGAAAGAGGTGCAAGGAGAAAAGCTCGGGTGTGTTGGGATAACGATAACGTTCCGCGGTTCCTAAGAGGGAGGTGTGCGACGAGGCGCCCAGAGCAGTGAGAACTGGGAGGGAGCGGAGAGGGCAGTTTTTGTGGTACGAGGGGTTGATGATAGTGGCATGAGCAGTGTCCCGAAAAGGGTCCACGAGAAACGGGTATGGAAAATGAGCAGGAAGAGGACAAAGAGGGAGACGAAGAGGGCGAGGATGGAGAGCAACGAGGAAGGTAGGCGTGGGTATGAAGAGGATCCAGAGGACGTCGGAATGAGAAGAAGAAAATAGCAAATGAACACAAGTCCGAAGTCGTTATGATGACAGTCCAGTGTTGGAAATGACAGAAATTTAAAAAATGAATGATGATAGACGATGGTGATAGGATGTACTATTGGAAAGGTGTTGTTTGAGATGAGGTGAAGGAAAGGGGGATGGTGATAGCCTGCAGTGGACAGCGAATAGAATAGTGAAAATGGAACGATTAGGAACGTGTGGTATGGTTAGGTATACTCAAAGCGGTGAAGAAAGAAAGAAAAGAAAAGAAAGCAAAAGGTAACAAGGATCGTACCGTCAAAAAATTAGCCCAACCTCCAATCCCCAGTCATCCACACCACACTGCCCTTCCATCCATCCTTCCACCGTCTCCTTACGCACCAGCAGCCTGCTGACCCCTCGCCACCGCCTCCTGCTCAACCACCGCCGCCGGCGTCTGCGTCTGGGCGGGCGGCGTCGCCACACCCTGCGGCGTCCGCCCAACAGCCGTATACGCAGGCGGCAGCTCAATCGTCACCGGCTCCTCGTCCTCCTTCCCCCCCGTATCCGGCAAGCTCGGGCCCGCATCGTCGTGCTGGATGATATTCACAGGCCGCATCTGGCGGAGGGGCCCCTTCCTCCTGCCTTCTCCCTGGCTAGACCCACCCCCTCCACCACCACCGCCAGCGCCTCCAGCGGCACCCAGCCCATACCCATACCCCGACCCCGAGACGCCCGAGATAGACGGGTCCGGCGTCCCCGTGCGCGTGTAGAAGCTCATCGTCGTGCCCCCGCTGAGCGGGCGCCTGCTCTCCAGATCATCACCCGCGCTCGTGCCCTCCGTGCTGCTCGGGAGCGTCGGGTCGGGGACGAGGAAGGGCTCGGGCTGGTAGTACTGCGGGAGCTCGTTCGTGCGCGCGGCGCCGTTGCGCGGGGCTTCGTCACCGACATCGTCGTCTGCGTTGAGTAGGTCGACGGGGCGTTCTTTGACGCGCTTCTGCTCGGATTGACGACGGCGGAGGAACCAGAGGAGGCAGATGCCTGCGATGATGAGTGCGAGGCCGCCGATGACACCGCCGACGATGGCCCCGACATTGGAAGAGCCGCCGCTGCCCGAGGAGCTCCTGATGACCACCGACAACCCTTCAGCTCCTTGAGTTCGAAGCAAAATAAAAGAAGACTCACCCCCCATCAGTCCCAGTCGGATAACTCCCCCCAGCCGGACTCCCAGGCGTCGAGCTCGGGCTGCTATTCGACAAACAGCTCCCATCGTTCTGGATCCCCGAACTAACAACATTCAGCGTGCTGCCCCCCGTGCCGTTGCCCCTACTGTCCCCGCCTACGAGTATGAGCGTCGTCCCACCGCGTAGGGAGGGCTTCCAGGTGAACCCCGTGCCCTGCGAGGGGACGGTGGTGATTTGTCCCTGGGGGACGGCGAAGGACTGCCCGCCGGGGATGACACCGAGGAAGTTGGGTGTGCTGAAGGGACGTTGAGTCATTTCCCCCTGAGAGAGCGGAAAATAGAGAGATAATCACCCTTGTACGTTCGCTGGATCCCACCATATTCGTGTGTCCACGCACTGCACGATCTGATTTGCGGGTTCGATCGAGAATACGAATTGCGGAGAGACCATGACCGTTGGGTCGAAACACGAGCTGTCGGACGACGCTGTCACCTGTGCGGCGACGCTCGTTCCACCAGAGCCAAAGCCTGAGGCATCGCTGACCTGAAGGGTGGGCAGGGGGTGAGTACGATTGTAGGACGTGATTCATGAAAGAAAGGAAAAAATGAAAAAAAAGAAAACGAGGAGGAGAGAAGAAAAAATACAATCAAAGGGGAAAGAAAATGGCCGTGCAAGGATCCTCCCCCAACCACGCCTCCTTCCTAACTTCATCCACTCAAACCGCCCCTCTAGCTCACCACCGACACTACATCCGGAGCGAGACGCCTCTCCAAAAATAACACCGCGCTCCAGACCACGTCCTCCAAAGGCGTCATACACACATATGCGTATAGGCATGCCGTAAACCCAAACGGACGTCCGAAAGACCAAAAGCACAGGTGTGGGTCCATGAAAGACTGGCGTCACTGTGCAGGTGGTCGGAGAGAGAGTAGTCGACGGGTTTGAGGAGTCCTGGTCGTAGGTGGCCAGACCGCTCGCGTCCATCTATCTCTATCGCGTCGTGTCCTGAAGTCCGTCGGTCAGCGTAACCCTGATGGCCTACGGCACCCCCTCGAAAGAGGCAATCAACGCCCAAAAACCATCATCGATCCACCCGACACCGCCCTCCCACCATGCGCTAGACACCAAGTCCCCATAACGTCAACAAGTTGACACTTCCGGTATTAGTGTGATCCACAGTCGCCTGACCCGTGACGAAGGAGGGGTGAGAGGAACGGGCAGAGCTCGGAGCACCCCGCATACTTCCACCCATGTGATGCCGTCCGGAGGGTATGTACATGGATGGTCGGTACCGATGCTCATCAGAAGGGCAAGGCGAGGGCGTATGGGAAGGGTAAACACGTTGGAAATGAGAAGGTTGGCTGGAGGGTGGGGGAAGAGGTCGAGGAATGGGGGCAGAACTAGGATCCTTCGCTTAGAAGGTCGGTCGAACATCGAAATCGAGCGAATGGCGCAGGAAGTGTGCATGACGGAGATGGATGAGGTCAGGAGGAGGATAGCGGGGAGACAGCATGTAGCAGCGCAGACCAGGAGAGAGAGGGGACAGAAGCCCCGAACGTCGAAGGTCGAAAGTCGGAGTTCAACCCAGGACAGGTAGGGCGTTGGCCAAAGTCTAGAGTCCGTCGTCGAAACGAACCCCCTGACCACGATGCATGGTGCTTCGACGTGCTTCGTCCTCTGCGAGCACGCTCAACCTTTGATCACCATGCCCAAACCCGGCACTTCGAGCGCCAAGCAAACACGGACAGATCCCCCATCCGCCGACCCGTTCGCCGCTTTCATCCACGCTCCTCGTCTTCCCACTCTCCGCGCGCCTTCCTCCCGCTCCTCTCTCCTGCCCTCCACACTGGCCGTGCCTCCTTCCGTCCGCCCTCCTCCCGCCCTTCCCTTTCCCCCACCGACCAAACCCAAAAATACCCCACACGCCGATCCTGATCCTCACGTCCAACATAGCCCCGCACTAATCCCATCTTCATCTTCGATGACGCCCTAATCCCATACATAACCGCCACTTCCGTCATCTCTTTGCTCCTTGTCGTCCTATGCCGTAGTGTAGCGTAGTCGTATAAATATCCCAGGAATAGACGCGATCAGGCCCAGGGATCATAATCTTGATCAAGAGGCCTTGTGTCTTGTGCTGTGCGACTGTTCTTCCTGGAGGGTTGGAATGGAATGGGCGAGAACGCGAGAACGAACAATATCGACGAGGAGAAGAGAATCGAAATGCCGAGAACAGATGGGCCGGAATGAGAAGATGGGAGAGCGAGAACAGATGGACCGAAATGAAATGAAAAGATGCGATGGGCTGGGCTGGGATGAGATGAGATGAGATGAGCAGGATGCGCTTCCTATCCATGCGATGACACTAGGCTGACGGTCGTGTGGCGAAGAGATGGTGGACAGATGGTTGCGCCGTCCTACGCCTTCTGAGCCCGTTCGTCAAGTTCGATAGCCGTCCTCCCGCCTTCGCCCTGTTGTAACGCATCCTTCCTGTTATAACCCACCCTTACGACGAGCCATTGGAACGCGAAGTGGCGTCCGACCCGCGCCTAGTGTGCGTGTAGTACGTCTGGTGTGTCGCGCATCGGGAGCTGAGTGGGCGTTGGTGGTAGCCTGAACGGACAGTGGATAAGGTGGAGCGGTACGGGGCACCACCTCCACCTATCAAGTGGAGCATCGGAAAAACCTTCAGGTCGAGCGTGACGGCGCTTCGACGTTTGCGCAGTCGACTTGGTGCCCTCCGTCGATGTTCTAGCGGCTTGTGCCATCTTCCGTAGCGCCGTCCCTCAAACTAGCTTCCTGAGACCGGCCTTCGCTCATTTTCCGCTAAACCGCCTGCCCAAACCGCCAAACCACGGAAAGGGAAAAGAGGGTGCACGCCGTAAGCTGCGGAGCGGCCCTGACGAATAGGAAGCACCGATGACAGCCATGACGCATCCCATGTTTAACGGCATGTTGTCCAGCCCTGCACCGGCCTGGGGCGTTCGGGAGTTTGTGCACGGGGTATCTTGACATGGGTGTTGAGTCAGGCCGTGATGGCAGAAGGCACAGGCGGAGGATAGGGATTCCCGAGCGTAGCGGGGTTTCGTAGGGGGTCCATACGGGGCGTTGAAGGCGGTATGGAGGTGGGTGGGTGATGGGCCGAACGGCGGTATGAGGAAAGCGGCCTGTCGAATATGGAGGACGCGAGGAGGAGGAAGGGGCTTGAGGTGGGGATTTGCGTGCCGGAAGAAGATGGAGAGGGCAAGAGACGGGCTGGCGAGGCCGTGTATCGTGATAGTGCGTGCACAGGCAGCGACCGTCCGATCGTTGATTGCTTTCGTCCACGCGGGCACGGGCTCGCCGCATACCATCGGAGAAGGGAGAGCAAAAATGGAGCGAGAAAAAAAAGAAAGTTGCGTCGAGAACGAAAAAGACAACGACGAGCAGCAAAGAAGAAAAAAAAATAGAAAAATAGCAGAAAAAATTAACGCAGACGAGCACTCACCACAGCGACGAACTGCGAGCTCTCCGGATACCTCAGCTGGAAGCTCACCTCCCTTTCCTCCCCGGGGAACGGAACGTCCAGGATCCTCCGCACCTCTACGTTACCCTCCAGTGGGCTCGGACCAAACGGGAGTATCAACACTCTATAAGGCGGGCGGCCGTCGGAGCCCGAGACGGAGATGGTGAGGTTCTGGCATTGTTGGGCTGTCCTCTCGAAGGCCCATGTGTATGCTTTTGTGCGTGGGAGGAGGGAGAGGGAGAGGAGCGGGAGGAGGGGGGTGAGGTGGGTTAGGGTGCGGAGGGTGCGGAGGGTTAGGGAGTGGGGAGAGGATTGGGGAAGGGAGGAGGAGGACGCCATGGGGAGGGAGAGAGGGGAGGAGGAGCTGAGAGCACAGCTGCGATAAGTGAGTTGGATTTGGAAGGAAAGCGTGATGCGAACCCACCTCCACGGAATAAACAATTGTTGTGATTTAAAGCTTCTCCTTTGCCTTGGGTCGTAGTCTGTGCCCTTCGACCTTCGTGTCGTGTCCGACGCTCCTCTGCTCTGCGTCCGTAATGTCGTGAGGAGGACCGGCGTGATGAGGAGATGGTGGTATAAGAAGAAGGGGCGACGAGCTGAGCTCCTGTGTGGATCAGGCGGAGTCTGGAGTCTGGAGCCCGAGAGCAAGGAGCAAGAATCATGTCACCAACAGGGCCGCGCCGGCAAACTCCGGCCAAGTCAACAAACGCGTGCTTGCAATTGCTTTCTCCTCTGCCAACTCCTTGTCGCCCAACTCCCAATGTCCTCCAGCACCAGCACCAAACCCTGTGGAGTGTCCGGATACCTGACGATAAATTCGTTATCCACCCTTCCCAGTCCCTTTCCCTTCCGGCTCCGTAGGCAAAGATCCCATTTCAATTTCCAATTTGCGGAGATCAGCCTCATTGGTCCTCGAGCCCTCGACTAGACGAGAGACTAGAAGCTCGTGCACATTCCGCGAGTATGCACGGAACACAGCGGCATCGAAGGGCCGCAAGCTGCAGCCTGCTTGCCGCATCAGTTGGCAGTTCTCTTCCGGATCCTCGACGTGGTTCACGGTGCCAGAAGGCCGAACTCTCGAGCCTACGGTACAGAGTACAGAACTCCCTACGTGTTCAAGCGCCCATCGCTCACCCTCCAACATCAACTCTCGATGACTTGGGACCCGCACTTCCACATTCAGCTCAGTGATGCTCGAAGTCGAGTTCCGACGGTTCATCATGCACATCCCCGAGAGCTCCCTGGAGTCTGAAATTTGAAACCCGACTCTGCAGAAGTTCGTGCACATGATCCTCCCTCGCTGCTCAAAACTCGTTTCTGCCGGACCCTGAAAACATTTCTCGACTGAAGTAGAGGAAGTTCACTGCCACCCGGTCTTCTCCCTCCGTCTCGCTTACCGCCTTTAAACTCCCCCGACCTCGCTCTTCCAAGTCGGTGCACGGACGCACCAGAAGCTCGTAAATCCGGACCTCCGAGTCGTTCCTCGGATTTATCGAGCGCCGACGCAAAGTACCCCGCCGTGACCCGCCGTGCTTTCGACCTCTGACCAGCGCATGGTCCCCTAAGTATCAATTTAAAGAATGCACTACATATTCCCAGATCAGTCTGCGCTTGTTGCTTACATTCACGAGCGACTATCACAAACAACCGCCTTACTGATCCCAGTGCTCCCCGCTCGCTCGCTCGATAAGGCACCGTCCGGCGCCACTGAACGTGAACCTGAGTGTGTTCAGCCTGAGTTCTCGGACGACAATCCTCTGCCGTCATTATCCATCCAATTCCTCTGAAAGTCCATTCTACAATTCGTCTCTACTCTAGCGCTACCCTCGTCAGCCGTTCGGCTCAAGAACCCCAGAAGCTCGTATAGCCGTTCCTCGGATTTATTGAGCACCAACGCCACCCGCCGTCCTCGAAGACAAGATCGCCGGTGCATACTCCCGCGGCGCCCACCTTGGTCTATATGTTCTAGTCGAATCATAACTTATAATTTCTGCTTACGAGCACACCCCCTACTTCCCAGCAAACGCTAGAAGGTCAGCTCAGGCGCCATTAGCGCCTTGAAAACGTGTTTCGAAACCCCCGCTTGGACGGCTTACTTGCAGCTTCTCGTCTCGGAGGGGGGACCGCTCCTTCTTCCGCGTGTGGACTTTCACCGTATTTCTGTCAGGCTTTTTGGCCGTATGGGCTCAAGGCACCGGTCAGCGACCGCAAGTCGCTGGTCGTGCTTTCTACCTCAAGGCCTAACGCGCACGACTTGAATCCTCGATACGATCTCGTATACAAAGGGAGGAGGGGGACTCCCGAGTCGAGGCCTCCTTCGTGCCATCGGTTCTCTTCCGGATCCTCGGCGGGCTCACGGTGACTCTGCCTAGAGGGCCGAACTCTCGAATCTATAGAACTCGCTGGATGTTCGAACGCCCATCGCTCACTCTCCGTCATTTTTTTATTATTATTAACCCGCAAATCAACTACGTTTCGAGAACTTCCTCAAACATTTGTCGCCCGTCTGACGTTGCCCCAAGTTCACCTTCGTTGATGTCGAGTCCGACGAGCTCGTGGAGGTTGCTGCTGTTTGGAAACTCAACGTCGACTCTTTCTCTGTAGAACACGTCTCGAGATCAGAAACTCCCAGCCTCGCTCATGAAGACGCTATTTCCGCTGCACTGCACTGTAGTCTGTCTGTCGGGCGACAATCCCCTGCTGACATCCCCCTCCACCCTAAGCATTCCACGGAAATATTGATTCCACAATTCGCCTCTAGCCCCGCTTGTCGCCCTTTCCTTCTTTTACACCCCGCCCTCGCAAAAGGATGCACGGTCGCACCAGAAGCCAGTAGGCCCAAACCTCGTTTGTCGGATTTATAGAGCGCCGACGCTACTCGCCGCGACGCGTCGTGTTCTAACACGGTAGGAGCGCGCTTTCAACGTGCTCCCTATTTGAGGACTGTTGCACGACACACCCTGATCATGACTCGCGATTACAACTGCTGCTTACGAGCATATTCCCGACAGGCGCTAGAAGGTCAAACCGGGCGGGCGCCATCAGCGCCTCGAAAGCGCGCTCCGAGAGGGCCTTCTCGTGTCGGAGGATGAATAGCTCCTCGCTCCTTCTTTCGCTTGGGGATTTCGGGAGTTCGTTTTGATTAGTCGGTTGTGTGCTCTAGTAGGACAACGCCCACAAGCCGCTGATTCATCGTACTTTCTACCTCACGCCTTGCAACCTTGATACACGAGCGCATCACCGTTTGTGCCAGGCTTTCGTCATTACGACCACGCACAACTGGCAGGCCGCGCGTCGTTTCCTCTCGAAATGTCCTTGTCTCCTCTTTCAAGTCCCGACCACATGAACAATATAGCCCGTGCGTATCCTATCCTCTCAATTTTCAAAAGGCTCCTTCCACATCCCGAATTTTGGAGGCGCGTTTCTATTTGTTGCTTCAACTGCATCCTCAAAGTGAACGTCTGGATGTTTGGTCTCTGGTCGGCCTTTCCACTTACTCTACTTCTCGTCGACATCATCGATACGTCCATTCATGTTCCTCGTCACATTATTCTCTCTACACCTGCATTGCCTGTTTACGAGTTATAGCATTCGGATTTTCGAATACCAATTCATTATTGATGAACCTCTTATGTACAATATACTTACACATACAGTAGGAAAGGTAAGGATCGCGAAGTGTCCTCCACAACGCCTCCCAGGGCATTACAGCCGTGGGGGTAGCAGCGCCCTTACAATTATGCATTGTATCGTTTGACTTCCTCGATAAGCGCCTCTAATAGCTTGTCCACTTTGCGAGGAAGGACATCTCACTTGGCGTTCAAATGGCGGACGATGATTGGAAAAGGCCCACTAAATTCTAATTACAATGTCAGAAATTAGGATGATCCCGTTGTCCTCGTCGTCCAGGCTTTTCTCCTGGCAAAACGCGAGATCATTTCTCAATCTAATCCGAGTCGTAATATAGACGGGTTGAGACCGTGATGATACTCGAGTATACCGACTGAGAAATCCGATGGATGATGGCTCCTCCCCTCTAGCGATGCGGTGACCAGACTGACCACGATCTACACTGAGAGAATGCGAATTCAACTTCGAGACACATCGTGGGGCTCTTGCTTCGGAGGTGGCTCTGGCTGTCGGAAAAGGTAGATCACGATTATCTTATCTTCTTTGTTCAAATCTCAGTATATCTTATCACTTTCTTGAACCGTTCCCACAGTCCTTATTTTTTTTCTCTGCAAGTACTACAGTCATCCACCGGCCAATGAGACACCACCGGCTAATGATACACCTTGGAACACCATGAAGGACTCAACTGTTTGCTTTGAAAAAATAACCCCATTCTCTATAAGTCTTTCATACACTGTGTATAAAATTTTATGGGTTTTGGTGAAGTCAATGCCCAGTAATAAAATCACCAAAATATTCATTTTGGTTGATTTTGTCACACCAGTCACTGGTACAGCATCTCTGGCTGTTTCTGCTCACGTTTGGTTGATTTTATGGCATACAGCTGGTATAAATTTATTTTAATGGCTCTATTACACTGATTCCAAGTGGTTTTATGAGAATCCATGGGCTGGTTGAGTTCTGGGATCAAATTTAAATTTCAGTGTATCAAATGATGGTGGATGACTGTAGTAGAACTGCATCATGAACTCATCGTGAATTCACTACGCATTGCCCTTCAATGATGCATTTCTCTTCCCGCTGCTCATTTCTTACCAAGAACACGTCCGAACCAACAAGGAGCGAGAGAACACCTCATCCGGCAATATCGAAGGTCCTGCCCAAAGACCCGATAAACGCGTAACTAGTACGCGTTTGTTCTGTTCATTTCTGTGGTCAACGAAGAGCTAGAAACTGTGTCCCTTTGGTCTTACATAAGGGCCCTCGCGTTCACAATGGTGACATAGGCCTTCCCCTGCCACCAGGACCTCTCCTTTGTTCCGCCAGTCGTATAATAGCCTCTTGAAACGATGGGGTACCACTCACCCATCCACGACCTCTCCGAGCATTGCCTCTCATGTCCTTAACGTACCCCAATTACGCCTCGACGCGGCCGGGATTGACCTACTGTCAAACAATCCTTTTATCCACCGGAGGACGTGCGCCCATTCCTCCCCCTCAGCCAGCGGTTTCGGCTACCGTCCCAGCGGGCGTGCGCCAACCAAGCCTCGCGAAGACCAAGGGACAGCAGCCGCGTTGCGACAATGCGAGCACGACGGGCTACTTGCAATTGCTGGCCACTCATCTGAAGGAGATCGGTTTTTCTGCGCATCGTCCGTCCGTCAGCCAACAGGTTCGTAGCGCCTGCGTCGAACACGCTGCCACGTCCTTAAACGTCCGTTCCAGCAACTCACGATCGTTCGCTGCTGCGACCCCGATCATTGCTGACGAGTCGGCGTCGGCCCCGCCGACATCTGTGGGTGAACAATCGTTTATTGGTCGGAGCCGTTGTCTGCAGAGTCCAAGTCGACTGCTGAGGGGACGACAAGCTAGGCGGTACGCTTCCACCTACTTATATCCTGGTGATTGCTGCTAATCTTGTCTCTGTTTCTTAGCTCGCCGACGTGAACCTGGGGATCTCCATTAATAGAAAAGATCCTCTTTACAGGTTTCTCAGGGAAACATACCCTGAACCCCGCCCCACACTCGAGACCCGACTTTGGGGCGGTCCCGAGAGCACTTGGGACTGCACCGCCAGCGAACCCTTTGCCGGCGATGAAAGCCTACCCTGACGGGATGTCGGGCTACCTTGACTATGGCATCCCGGTAACGCGAAAGAAGCAGGAGGAGATGAAGTCGATGGCCGTCGGTATTCCCGACTATCATGGCTCGTGTACGGTTCCTGCAGGCGAGGTGTCAGAGAATGCCTCACTGTCCCAGGAGCCGATGGTAGCGCTTAGAGAGCTGGAGGACGTCATGGCCGAGTTGGACGGGGAAGCCATGAAGGACGTCGCGTTCGAGATGTATCGCATGCTGGCAGAGGGGCAGGGAGCGATGTCTAGTGTCCAGTGATCGATGTTCTTCGCTCTTTTCCTTCTTGCGATTTGTCTCACTTTCCGAATTGTTTTCACTATCATTATTGCTTTGCTATGTTTTCGCTCTTCCTACGTACATCGCTTTCTACGTTTTCTCATGCCCTCGACGAACGTAACACTCGCTGTATTTATTATGATCCCCTCCATGTCTGTATAATTAATACCGTGGCACTCCGAGTCGCATCACTCATCGTAATCACTCGCCTTCTTGTTGTTTGAATATCATGTACGCAGTATAATCGCCTCTGAGGTGAATACAATTTCTTAAATACCTATGCGCCTCAGATATTGAGAATGGCCGCAGTGCGTAGTCTTGATATGTCAAGGAAGTGAGTCGGGAGGCGCATCAGTCGGGAGTCAGGATCACTCGAGAGGGAAATATATTCTAAACCGCCACAACGGCACGCTTCAAACCTTCTCACAATTTGAGAATGAGCGGGATCGCGAAAATACCTTTCGATTTCGCTTCATCCTTTCATCAGCTTCAAGGCCTGCACAGTAACAGTGTCGAGCCACAGAATTCCTTTCGGCGTCCTAGTGAGTCAGAGAGAGGCTCAGAACAATGGAGCACGGAAATCCGGAGATCTCACTCGACTCGACTCCCTCACATCTCGAGCTCGACATGAAATTGAGCGATACACCCGGGGTCTCTCTCGTGTGGCCTCCAATAGAACGCTTCAGAATTATGCGTTGGCTTTCACACATGCAACGCGGTGGGACGGCGTTTCCCAATGGGGCAGCTGAACGTTGTGGACTCGGAAATTAAATATGTGGCTCGATCGTACGGGTATGGTGCGCAACAGACAAAGGAGAAGCTATTTTATTTTTGCCCCTTCGCTACGGCGTTCTGTTTTCGGTAGACATGCAGGTGCATGAGAATACGGCGGGCCACAATTCTTCTGCATATAAATTGTGGGCGAACGCTTTGTCTTTCTCCCCAGAAACAAAATCTGCTCACACCAACGCGCGGTTGTTGACATACCCTCATATCACCTTACTTCGACGACCTCTTCAATACACTACGCCTCTGCCATGGCCTCTTCTTCAGCAATGTCTTCCAACACCTCAACAAGGTTGTCCCCAAAGAAAAAGGTCCATTGGTCGGAGCCATTGCCTGAAGGGTCGAAATCGATTGATCGGGGGACAACGAGCGATGTGGTACGTTTCTGCCTATATCCTGGTGATTACTGCTAATCTTGTCTCTGTTTCTTAGTTCGCCGACGTGGACCTGGGGGTCTCAATAAACAGAAAAGATCCCCTTTACAGGTTCCTCAGGGAGACATACCCTGACAAGAGTGACGAGGAGCTTCGGCCTCTTCTTTTCCTGCCTGAGGATAGTTGAAGGAGAGTTGTAGCTACGGTGTTCTGCGCGTCCCGATCTCAGTTTTTTTCGAACGCTCAATGTACACGCCGTAGTTATATATAGATTATTCACCTTTTTTCTTACTTAGTGACTTAAATCTATCTGATGCGCATCAGCCGACTGTGACATTCTACGTAATGGCCCGGAAAGGGAATTATATCCTGAAATGTCACATCCCGCCACCTGATCCCGTCGATAACGATGCTTTTTGAGATCTTGCTTTTCTCTGAAATGACAAACAACTTAAAATTCGTGTCAGTGAGTGTTGCAATTCTTATGCAAACGACGTTCGTCGAAGTTTTGCCCTAATTTATGGCAGACACAATGCAAGAAACGCTTGATTGGATCAAATGACGTGGCCTTCGCAACTTCTCCATCTTGCCGCATTTTTCAATGACGAACTTTTAGTAACTCATGAATAAGATACTGTGCTACTTGTATGCGCATTCGCCCCCCTCTGACTGCCTAATATCAAAAATGCTCTTCTCTGCTTCCACGTATCTCCTCATCGCCCAAGCACCTAGAAACGCCATCTGGACAGGCGGCAAGAGGTCGAGAATATGTATCATTCAAAAATAGCATGCTGGGAAAATGTCTGTGGTCTCTGCTCTGTGGTGCTAGTCTCCTAGAATCCGATGTTTGGATGTCCATGTTGGGTCCTGGTAAACGGGTTGATTAGGCGAGTAGTGTTCCTCTCTTACTTGGTGAAGATTAGTTTCACTCATCCTTTCGCAGCTCTAGATATGAATGTACTCGAAAGGTAAGCATGAATACGGCTGTCCGTTCACAGCTTTTGGCAAAAGCCGCCGTCCTGCCCGGAAGCAGTCTCGAGAGGGTCGAGGACATCTTTACTTGTCCCCGGAGACTAACACAATTGGTTCGCAGCCGTCGTCTGCGTGGATCAAACGTCGAACATCAGGCAGTTCTTCTCCTGAAGATTTCTCGCTCCCTCCTCTCTACCCATTTAGTCCACCGCCAGTGCTTTCCTCGCCGCCTGACGTCTCAAAAGTACAAGTTGCGCCAAAGAATGTTCCAAAATATGTTTCTACCCCCTGCAGTCTTTGAATCAACCCGGCTTTTGTAACTACTGAATCAACCCAGAAATTGAACTACTGATGTAACTAAATATGAAGTACTGATCCAACCCTATACCAAACTACAAATCCAACCCAGGTTCTTGATGTACTGAAGCAACCCTGCTTTTCAAGTTCAATTCTAGCATTTTAAAAGTACTGATACAACCTTTTTTCAACTTGTGATCCAACCCTTATTTCAGAGTGTAACAAAGTACTGGATCAACCCCTATTATGATTAAGAATATGTACTGATCCAACCCTCATTATTCTGCTAGAAAAGTACTGACCCAACCCTCATTATCCTCTAAAAGAAAGTACTGATCCAACCCCCATTATTTTCTAAAAGAAAGTACTGATCCAACCCCCATTATTCTCTAAGAGAAAGTACTGATCCAACCCCCATTATCCTCATAAAAAGTACTGATCCAACCCCCATTATCCTCATAAAAAGTACTGATCCAACCCTTATTATTCTCATAAAAAGTACTGATCCAACCCTTATTATTCTCATAAAAAGTACTGATCCAACCCTGCTTTTTTCAATTTCCTAATTGGGATGTCTCTGATCAACTGCACACAGCTGTGATCTTGTGCTACCTTGATCCTCTACCACCACCATCTCTGGCCTTCAATATGGGTAGAACTAAGAAGAACCCAAAGAAGAGAGCAGTAAGTGTGATAATTTGATATCTTTTGTCTTAGATCTACATTAACCAATAACATAGCTTTCCACATCAATGTCTGAAGATGCCAGTCCACCTAAGATCAAAGCCAGTAATCAAGATGATGCTAAGAGCTCTAGACGTTCTAAGAAGGTTAGAAGTAGATTCCCTTCTTGATACATCATAGATCTAACTCATTTCCACTAGAAAATACACTATCAGGATAACGATTCTGACGACTTCCTTTCTGACAACAACATTAAAGCTAAGAAACCTGGTCCTCCTCAACAGGTATGGTTTATATCATTGATCCTTGAATCTTTCTCTGATAAATCCATATAGCCAACCCGCAAGAAGCCAGGCCGTCCATCAAAGAAGGGCCAGGCAATCAGAACTGATCCACTTCCTGATCAAGATACTGTCATGTCTTCCCAATTTCTTCAGCCTCTCACACCTCCCCAGAAGGCCAACAAGAAGGATCCAAATGCTAACGAGTACACTCCACGTACTGCGCAGGCTGTCCGGTTCAGCATGCAAATACCTATCTGGCAGATTGAAGTGTCTCATATACCAAAGAAACAGCCACGTCACGGAACCACAGAGTCACCAGATATGAGGCCACTGAATAGGCTCACCCGGTTAGAGAAGGATGGATGGACATGTCTTGGAACAACACCTACAGCAAATGTGTACAGGCTGTTCCAGGATTTTGTGATTCTTTATGTTTTATATTATTATGATACTTTTACTGATTTTTTCTTGCTTTTTACAGGAGAATGACTACTCACCTCAGGAGTACAAGATCTCCAGTGGTCTCATCTCTATGCAGTTCTTTGGTCATCCTTGTGATCGGCCTAAGGACATACGTGCTCGCTCCTTTCTTCTTGAATGGGCAACTCAGGATCGCAAAGTTCCATCAAAGTACAAGGATAAATCTCGACCTGTTTTCCGTGTTGAGTATCAATGTCTTGGAAGTTGCAATGCTGAAGCACCTCCTGCAGAATCAGATGAGGATGTGAGTGAAGAAGAGGAGGAGGAGGAGCAATTCAGAGGATGAGAGTGAGAATAATCAAGAGGAAAGTAAAGGTGTGGATAAGCAGCTCAGAGGAAAGTGTGTCAGGAAGAAGCAAAGTCCAAAGGCAAGCAGCTGCCCTAGAAAGGTCAAGATTCATGTGCGTAATTATTTTTTCTTTTATTTCTTTACTCAACCACTATAGGTTGAGGTCATGACAAATGATCTTTCAAATGCTATGGTCTGGCAACAGTTTGTACACCACAAGGCCCACCACAGGCATCTTGAAATGTCACATTTTGTTTGGCAGAACATCTTAGAGCTAGCCTCACTCGCAAATATGACAGCATCCCAAATTAAACTTAGTATGTTTTTCTAAAATTCCTTTGTTGATTGTGAATAGTGCAACTAATATATTTTGAGGACTTTTGGCCTTCTGCGATCAACACCAGGTTCCACGCTACCGCTGGCCTACTCCAAGTCAAGTCAACAATATTGTTCAGAATGTCCGCCATAAAGAAAGGCTTCTCAATGATCCTTTACTTGCAATTGGGCTTTTTGCAGAGAAAAATCCTGATAAAATCTTCTAGTGTGTTTTGTTTTGCTTCTTGATTATACTATTAATCAGTCAATATTTTAGCTACTCTCCCCCTGATTACACAACAGACCCTCCCACCAACTTTGCTACAGGAATTCAGCATCCCTTTGCTATACAGTCACTCATTCTATGGTCTCATGCTAATGGTGTTGGCCTTGATTCATCTTATCGCCACAAGAATGAAAATCGAGCTCCAGTGACCTTTCTAACAACCATTGATGACAATTCTCATATGATTCCAGGTATGTTCAATATTTGTCTTTACA